TAACCACAGCAGCTTATGAAATGCTGATCAAAATCACAGAATTTAAAATTGTTTAACAGAATTTCCCACACAATTGTATTTCATTAGCAATGATTGAATGATTTATCGATTTATCGTACAGAAATCGTAAGTATCGATCCCCTGGTTATTATTTGGTTTTATATGAATAGAATTGTTTTGGTCGAGTTTAATGCTTGGCAATATTACACAATGTTCATCATTAGTGTTCAATATGGTAGTTTTTTGATGATGTATCAAGTATTTGCAAACTCTACGAAAATTCGAATATGCATTATATATATATGGGAAAATACTAGTAGGTATAGCCGGATTGATGTAATAAATACATTAGAAACAAATCAAAATAACTGTCTAAGGTTTCCTTCTTTGCGTTGTCGTTTAAATGAAAAAAGACGTTTTGGTTATGAGGACATTTTAAATCTTTTGAATATATTCACTTTAAAACAAAGAAGAAAATCTGTTATAATTGTATTTTTTGTTTAATTTATTAAATAATTTGATTATGTCCAGAATTATTTGAAAACATACATACATTTTAGTGTCACGGAAACTCTGTTGATATTGATTTCTTTAGCAATAATTTATTGTCTTTTTAAAAATATTCTTAATTGACGAATACGAAGTAAAAAAACTTTTTTTACTAGCATAAGCTAGTCAATGTTTCGCTATTTTTTTTTTTAATATGTGGATGTTAATATAAAATGTAAACGAAAATAAAAAACAAAAAATTAAACATCTTTTTTTATTTCTATAAGTAAATACCTACTAAACTACTATTTCGTTATATAAATATTGTTCATCTTATAGTGTTCATATAACAGAATTTAAAAAAGTAAAATTAATATAAGAATTTAAAATTCTAACAAATTTAACTTATTAATGAATTTTTTGAGACTACAAAAATAATTAATAAAAAGTAATTTTTTTTTTATAATAGGTGTATGTACGATTTTATTTAATACAAATTATTTAGTGTTTATCATTTTTGTAGGGTTAGAAAATTTACTTAAATATGTTAGAGTCATTAGAGGGAGTGGACTTTTGAACCCCTCTATCATTTTCTTTAAATTTTTTTTTATGTTTTTTTAATGTTTTTAAGTGCTTCTTTCAGGGCTTTTTTAGTTTTTAAGCGTCTTTTTGTGGATTATAAGAGAATATTGATCCAGCCTCTATAGTTATAATATTTTATTTGAAAATATCAAGGTTTAAAACTAAAATATGTGACGGATAAAAACAAAAAGAGCCGGGCAATTTTGCACGATAGGTAGGCCATTGTTTTAGGTGAAAAGTTGGGAAAGTAGGATCTAAATGGAAATTTATTGTATATCTGTAAGCTACGATTAACCATTACAGTATTAACGAAAAAACGAATCTGAGTTCAGTTGTTAGTGCTGCTTTATCAACAAAATATCATGTTATGTCAATTTATTTTCATATTATGGTAAAATAATTTTATATGCATTAAACATTTTCTTTAATAATATTTGTTTAATAATGTACCGATTTTCCCGGTTTTTCACATTTGATAGGGAAACTCTTGAGAAAACCGAAAAATGACCTTTGTGCAAGTTACAACTGCTATAAGTACATTACACGTGTCCCACAAATAACGTATAGCCATTGTAATATCTTATTCCGAGTTGTTTTTGTTGTTTCAAATTGTTTTTTTTTCTATATTATTTATATTGATAAGAACTACAAATATTTATAATTTAATTAAATTTTTATATTTTGGTGAACAAATTAAAAAAATGTCTTTGTATTCTATATTTTTAAAAAATTGAAAGATATTTCCATTTTATAGTGTTTATTTTTCTGAAAATTTTGACGTTTCAACTTTTTATTTTCATTAAATTCGTGATTTTTAATAATTTTTTAAAGTTCAGATAAAAAAGTGTACAGTCAGCATTAACCATAATAATTAATAATGGTAATTAGGTGATATTAATTATTATCTCGATTGTCTATGAATATGCAACAGACTGTAATTGCATTTACTAATTGAATGTTATTATTATTTTATTACTTTGGGTAATTGACTGTACACTTTTTTTCTCAGAACTTTAAATTAAAATTATTAAATACCACGATATTAATGAAAATAAAACGTCAAAATGTTAAAATTTTCAGAAAAATAAACATTATAAAATAGCTATCTTTCAATTTTTCGAAAATAATAAAATAAAAAGTAATGTTTTAAAATTGTTTTATCAAAACGTAGAAATTTAATTAAAATATACATACTATTGTAGTCTTTATCCCTGTGAATAATATGAAAAAAAAAAAAACCAGTTTGATTATCTTTATTATCTCAGGAGATATTCCAATGAGCGGAGCGTATATCTTCGTGGGACAACCTGTTTACCCGATGAATAAATAATAATCATTTTGATGTGATTAAAAGATTAAAAATATCCAATAAAAAAATATTTAGTTTTTATTTTTTCATACTATATTACGCTTTATTCTTATTTTAATTTCATAAATTACTGAACAACTAAAAAAACCATCTTATCCCAATCGGGTTGAGTGGTTCCACATTTGGTAACATCATTTGTGTTATTATGAGTTATGAGTTGATGACCGTTGGTAATATTGTACTTTATATGCGTATCTTCAACGAAATTTTTGTTTTTCTCCATCGAATATTTCAGAACGTGCGTATTTCAAAATAAAATACGATATTCGTGTATCAATAGTAGTTATTGTATTGTTCTGTACGTTCTTTATATTAGGCACATAATAGCGAACACATAACATAATGAAATAACCAAAATAGAAGGTACCTATAATACAGAAAGGAAGGTATTGTTGAATATGTTATATTTATTTTTCGCTTACATATTGTAGTTTAAATTAAACGTATTGACACTGTAAAACAAAATTTTTCTTTTATATACCTCCTATATTTACAATAAAAATAAAACACTGACTTGCAAAATTGATGAATATAATTATTTTTAGGTATTCTATGAAAAATAACATCAGTATACCTACTTTAGACGATTATTAACCACCAAGTTATAAAATATAAGGTAAACTGCCAAGGTAAACTACCAAGTAAACTACAATATATTGTAACACCAGTATTACGCTAGATCGACACTAAAGGTCTCCATTAAAAACGTAAGTTAATAAATACGTGATAACGGAGTCCGTGTACACGTGATTCCTACTCGCGTATACTTAGTATACGTAGATTTACTATCCATGTCCACGTGTTTTATTGTTATTCACGTGAATACGCAGTGAAAACACGTGAAATACGCGAATAAACGTGTATACGGATTTTTTTTTACACACCGCCACGGTTTATAAGTTTGAATTTTAATTTCACGTAGGTACGTGAAAGCGTAAACACTTGAAATGGGGAGTTCTAGTCCAATGGTTTTCAATCAGGTTTCAACGACACACAAAGGATCCGCGAGTGATTTTAGGGGATCGCCAAAAACCGTAAGTATTAAGTAGCCTACTTAAAGTAGATATCATGCATACGGTATATCGTATTATTGAAGTTCTATTAAACGATTTTTGAAGGGTTGCCTTACATGAAAAAAAAAATTAAGGTGTTATTCGCAAAACCTAAAAGGTTGAAAACCACTGCTCTAAATGATACGACAGGTGCGAAGTACACGAATAGATCGCTATTACCAATTATTGATATTTTCAGTTTGATATCGATATATCATACTGAATATCGATACATCACTGATATCATCACTATATCAACAAATTGTATTATTTTTTATTTTTCTTTCTTGCAAAATATTAACTTACCTATCCAATTTGAAAAAAAAAATCTAAGTTATTTTACATTTATAAGATTAGTTACTAAACTTAATATTTTAAAATAATAAATTTTTAGGGTTCTGAGTGGAGTGATGAATGTATTGGTTTTACATTAATGTTTATTTTTTTTTTCTGTCCGTGGACAAATTTTCTACTAGAAATCTTGCTCCAATTTACAAGCACTTTGTAGTACTTATTCTGAAAAGAAATCGGACTAGGGAGGTACTTTAGAAAGGTATTTTTTTTCATTTTCCCATAAGTTTTCTCGATATATTGTAAAAACAGGAAAAAATCTGACGAAAAACGAGAAAATGTACGAAATGTAGGTATGTTTAAAAAAAAAAACTGTTTTTTTTACCAGTGAACCCACTGTTTATACCAGCTATTTTGCTCTGATTTAAAATGAAACCACTTTTTCTGAAAACGAATCTGATTGGGGTAGTGCTTTAAAGAGATTATATTTTGATTTTCTTAAGAACTTTTCTCAAATTACCGCCTTTTTTCTGTGAACAAATTTTTTACTAGCAAATCTGGATCTATTTGTATCTTAGATCTATACTTGCAAATGAGAGTATGCGACTGAACAAAATTCATGAATCAACCAGAAATTAAAAATAAATCAAACAAAGAGTCATTGATATTATTGTGGGTCGCCAAAATTAAAATTATACCCAAAATGGGTCATACCATCAAAAGTTTGGGAACCTATGGTATAAACCCTATAAAATGGCTATCTTCAAATTTTTCAAAAATAATAAAATAAAAAGTTTTTTACTATAACATTAGTTTATGTACTCGCTACTCATATCACTATCGTAATTTTATTGTAATTGGATATTTGTCCGTAATATTTAATAAATAAATGAATAACTTAACAAATTAATCGCAATACAAATATTTATAGTGTAGTGATATAAAAAAAAAAAAAAGAAAAACAGACTTTGATTATCTTTATTTCTGGAGATATTACAATGGATATATCTTCGTGGAACGCCCTGTATATAATATTATAGGTATCTAATCCTCGCTTGAAATCGACGCGGCAGCGTTTCCAACGAGACAAAAGAAATAAGACGCTTTCATGGTACGTCATTATTATTTTATACATTTTTTGTTAATCAAAATATTGATATTTTCGGACTGATAATAATCAATATCTTTGATGTTTATTTTTTTTTCGCTCACGATGGATGCTGTTCGACCGGCGTGAAAATTCGGTAAATATCACGGGATATCGTGTACAGGTACTGCACCTGCTGCACTCGGCGACAACAATAAAATATGTACGTGTCGTCAGACAATGGCAAGTGGCAACGGACGTTGTTGTGTGCGTACCCGGTCCTGGCGTTATTTTCGTTTTGGACGAACCGGCGGTGGCGGCGGCGACGGACGTAAATTCCTGCGCATCCTCGTCTCGGGGTTCTCCCGGAACTGGTTACTTTATCCCAACGATATTTGCTGTTCTTTATGTTCGAAAATCGTACGGTTCCGCCGCACCCAGTACAACATCACCATTGTCTGTACACGGTTTCTTTGCGACGTTGCCGCCGTCGTGACGTTTTGAAGTCGAAAATCGTGTTTAGGAAAAAACGACCGAACGGCTTGTCTAGTATCTACTATCTTAGTATAATCTTTTTCTACCCGGCTTAGCATACCATGCATTGCTATAGAGAGACCCATAAACCTCTCATTGGCTGTATTACGTTTGTAATAAATTATAACATTATACAATTATCAATATTCAATGTTTTCAAATTATTATAATTATTATTTTTTTTTTTATTTAATAAAACATGATTTATCCAGCATCATTTTAAATATGAAATTTTCAAAAATGACAATTTTAATATTATTTTAAAATGTGATGTAAAATCTATGGAAGACATTAATGGGTCTACTAAATAATAAACCATTTATTTCATAGGTAACTTAATTCTTAAGTCTTAGTTGAATTAATAAAAGTGATTTTAACACTTGAAAAAAAAAAAACATATAAATTGGACATTTAGCATTTTTAAATAAGCTTTTTCGGTTTGCTGATACACTAGGCTCCCATTGACAAGGAAACTTTTTTCTAAATATGTTTAATTTATTTTAGTTAAGATTCCTATGACATAAATAGCGTGTTATTCAGTAAATACAATATAAAATAATCACGCAAATACCCACGCATTGATATCTTCCATTGAATTTTAAAATAATATTAACATTGTTACCTTTATCAATTTCATGTTTATATTTAAATAATGCTGGATAAAAATCATATTTTATCAAATAAATTAAAATAATAATAATTTGAAAATATTGAATAGGTATTGATAATTGCATAATGTTATCACAAACGCAATACAGCCAATAGAGCTCTCGATTTCCAATGGGATACACGGGCGCACAAGAAACACGAATCAAATCGGCTTATGAACCTACACAAATCAATTTCCCAAAAGGCCGATCTGCCCTTGTAGATAATATAATAGCTACTAAATCAATGACTAAATTACTACTAGATACATAGATACAGACACATTATCGGACGAAACAAAGTTGGCTCAAAATAATATAGGCCGATATGAATTAAAAAAAAAAAAAAACTGTATGAAAACATTTAAACGACTTAAAATATTATGAGAAGATTATAAAACGATAAAAGAGACATAGTCAATTTTATAAAGGTCATATCACACAAAATTAAATAAAATTAATTATCTAATTTATTCTTTTTATTGTTACTGTCCGTAACATTATTATTATGCATTATTCATATCATCTATTAATTCATATAATGTATTACTATATTCATTATTTATCATTAAAAATTATTAAACTAATAAGTCAATAGATTAAAACAACGTTCTGAAAACCATAAAGGCTTAGAACCTCGTTTATTAAATTTCAAAACTTATGAATTTCTTTGGTTTAAAATTAAATTTTTTTTTAAATTTTTTAAAATTTTTCTTTTTTCCGTCGTTCTTTAGATTTTGAGCGTAGCAAAGAATGTCTTGGTTTTACAATGATGTTTATTTTATTTTTTTTACCGTGTAAAAAAAAATTTTACTAGGTACCAGAAATCTTGCTTCGATATGTAAGTGTGGCGCACCTTTTCTGAAAAGAAATATTGTGTGGATGGTACTTTAAGGATGTCATTTTTTGATTTTCCCAGCGGTTTCTATAATATCTGGAAAAACTCTGGATAAAACGTAAGAAAAACGTGAAAATTTACGAAAATAGTGCATTTATTATTTTAAATTAATTTTTTTTTTTATTGTTATTGAGTTAAAAATATTTATAGAAACTTGAAATTTAGAGAGAAAACTTAAATTTGCCTTTTCTAGACATGGTAACATTTTCAGCTATTTTTGATCTATTTATAGACATTTGAATTTCGCGAATTTCAATTTTTTTATTTAGTAGGTACTTCGGAAAATGCTTAAAAATATACAAGAGGTTCATTAAAAGTCGTACTTTATGGTCCAAAGAAAAAAAAATCGAGCTTAATATGTAGTGCACCTAGAGATCCAAGTCTCCGTAATACGACATATATTGTTGAAAATGCAATATACTATTAACCGAGCTCAGCTCGGAATCGTTTCCGTTAACAATGGTTAATCTTCGCAGACAGAAATACATTAAATGTCCCCTCTACTACTTTCCAACTTCTCACCTATAATAGTGGCCCACCCACCAGTGAAATATGTCAGTCTTTTTTTTGTTTTTTTATATATGAACTTTGATACCTAGTTAATCAAACCAAACATATGGATTGTCAATTTTATTGTTATTCTGTGGGATGGTCGTAATCTGTCTATTTCCTCTGTGTGTCAACAATATTACATAAATACAACGGTTATAATATTATAACAGTGGATGAAAAGGCTCATGTGCCTCGAATTAAATAAAGGATTGATAATTAATTTCTCATTCAATTTCTTATTAACATGGTTGGCAATCTAGTTTAATTTTATATACAATGGACAAGCCCGGATTAAGGGGGGCCAGAAGTATATAAACACACCAATAATTTGAATATGTTTATGGACCCCTAATATTGTTTGGCTCCGGACCCAAATTCATCATAACCCGGGCTTGACAATGGAGCTTCAGAATTGAAGAGAGAGTATAATAATATTCATATATACCTACCTCAAATGAGTACACGTCAGAATTATAAACCAAACCCACCATATAAATGTACAGAAGAATACTATCTAATTTATTAACTATAATTCGAATATATTCGATTACTTGAAAATATTATTAAAAACAAAATTGAACGATTCATTAAAACAAAAAGTAAACTGCTATTGGCTTTAACGGCACTCATACCAATTTATTTTAAAATATTTAACCACAAATAAAATAGAATTATTAATTTAAGTTACATTAATTGAACTTATGAACTTGAATGTACAAAACATTTTTTTCAAAAAAAAAAAATCGATTTTTTACTTTAATAATATCATTTTTTTAATTACCTGTTAAAATTTATAATATTCGATTTCGCTTAATCTTAAATCACTTTGTTTCCACACAGCATTTAGAAAGTGATAATATTTTATAAATATTTTGAAGTGGTTAAATAATAAATATTTTACTAATAATATTATGTACATATTTTATTCTTGTGATAACAAAATATTTTGTTATATGAATTATAAAAATGTTTTCTAAATATTTGTATGTTTCAAAGAAAATATATAAAAATAAATGTTATTCTAAAATATTTTGACAATTATAATTTTCCTAAAAAATATTTTGTTAATATTATGGAAATAATTGTTTGCTGTGTGGGTTTTTAGTTTAAATTATCTACGTATCTATGTTCATTTAATACGTTAATACATGTATCATCATTTATAATTGAGTTGGTGAAGCCAATATTAGATAAACTATTAGAATGCTAGATGCTTAGATACTGTAATTTGAGGTATACACTTGGTGGAGGTTTGACATTTGAAGTCACCCTCCCCCCCTTTCCCATTGGTGGATATCCTTGCAAATATGGGGGGGGGAACCTATAGAAAAATAATATAGCGTAGGTCTAATAAATACATTAGAAGCGACTTGTTAAAATTAATTTTCTAAAGTTCTTTTCGTGCTCATAATATTAACAGTTGTCTTTTTATGTTTGTAAAAACCATAACTGGCAACGTCGCAAATGGTGGGTTGAGTCGATCAATACTGGTAGTGCAGACATTATGAAACCTTACCACCCACTATTCGTTTTATACACCACCCAGCGTGTTGAACTACTTTAACACAAGGAGCAAATATTTTATTATCCAAATCACCCGCTAAAATACTCAATAGTCTATAATTTATATGTGTATATATACTTAATATTCTACACAATAGTCTATAATTTAAATATTTTACAAGTTACAAAAAGGTAATTTTTTCTTACATATATCTATTATCTATATATATAAATGTGAAATTGTAATGTAATGTACATTTTTGTAACAACTAGTCTCAGAAACTACTGGACCAATTTTTACGCGGTTTTCGAAAAATTATCCGCGTTGTCCGGAGAACATTTATAGCTATTGAAATCCACCCCCTATAGAAAACCATTTCCCAAAATTCGGTTTTTAGGTATTATTAAATTATTTATATATTTTCATGGATTACCTTAGTAACACGGATGAAATAAAAAAAATTTAAAAGGTTGATACTGAGTGGGTATTTATGGTCAAAACGTATCTATAGTAGGTATTTATGGTCAAAACGTATCTATAGTAGGTATTTATGATATCTATGGTAAAACGTTATCTTTGAATCTTATATTTTTTCCAAATTAAAAATTAAATTTGTTTCTGCTAAAACACATTTCATTTATTTTTCGTATATATATTTTTAATTTTTTACTATATAACTGTGGCGATGAAAATATTATTTACAAATTGTCAATATTTTATTAAATCGAATCTATTCCATTTTTTTTTGAAAATTCTTTGATGAAATTTTAAGAACACTGAAAATTTTTTGGCGATTTCCTACCCAATAATATATACGAATACAAATTTGTAATTGCTGGGTTATAATCGTATAGTATGTTGTAATTTTAATTTTCAAACAGTTTATCAAAAATAGTTTGCTATACATAATATTTATTGGAATTCTTTGAGAAGCATTTTATAATGTGTGCATTGTCAACAGAATGTTTCTATATATAAATATGTTGAATAACAAAAACAAAAAATAATTTCGTTGAAAATACATCGCTGACAATCGTTCAACACACTCGTATAAGAAAATTATAAAAATGTAATAGAACGCATAGGTATGTAAAATAATCTGAAAACGATAGCAAATTTTTAATATCTGTGTGGACTGTAATGATTGAAGTGAACAAATGGAGTTCGGTAGACAGCAAGTGAATTCAAGATAAATTCAAGATAAGTTTATATCAAGATCAATAGATTCCGTAAATAAGTTTTACCTAGATTATTAAAATTGTAATTATTTGCTAATCATAGTTTTAATTACTATAATATAATGTTCTTAGTTTTTTATTGTCTACATCTTGTTTTGTTTGTTATCGATAAAGCATGGCTCGAAAAAAAAAAACGATAAGCGAAAAAATTTGAAATACTTGAAAAGCTTGAAATATTTTGCTAACAAAATGCGATTCTCAGTTCGGTATAATATATTTTGAAATGTCGTGATTTTGTACGATTTTCGCAAAATTTGAACTTAAAATGCTTACAAAAAAATAACTACATTACTATTAAACATTTTTTTTCCATAAAGTATAACTTGTGATGAACTTCGTGTTAAATTTCCAAGCATTTTTGCTCGGCCAATACAATTTTATCCACGTAAAACTGAACAAAAATTAAACAATTTAGAACATTTTAAAAACCTGTAATAAATACTTTTACTAAAAATTAAACAGTTTCTTAAGAAAGCTACAAATAAAATCAAAGAACGATCTCCTTATGTACCAACTAGACATTTATCAGAAAAATGTTACACTTGAATTTTGGGCAAGTTTTCTGGTAAAAAAACAAATGAAAGTATAGATAATATTTATGGAAAATAAAAAATCGTAAATAATGAAACTTTTTTTCCGTACGTAAATTCGTCCGCTTATTCTTTGTATTTTTTTTCTGGTTTTCTCCAATTATTATGAAAACTGGTTAGAAAATTGAAAATTCACAATTTTTTTAATTCTACATTTTACCAGGTAAGCTGTAATTTTCTGTAATTTTTATTTGGTTTCATGAGGATAAAAGTGCTTTGACCCAGCAAAAATACTAGAAAATTTAACATGTGGTTTATCTAAAATATTGTACTTATTTGTAAAAAAAAAGTTATACATTATGAAGTAATACTATTATTAGAAACATTTAAAGTTCATATTTTGCCGAAAATCGCACAAATCGCGAAATTTAAAAACATGTTTCGCCAAACTTCACTCGGAATCGTTTTTAAGTTAGCAATGATTCACCGTTGTTCGTAGATATAAATTAAATTACTCTATTTAAAATATCATAGGTGCGTTCAGTACCTATATCTTTTTCTATTACATTTTTCGGATAAGAATATTCGACTACCCATTTAATTATATTAATAAGAAAAATTATTATTATTTGAATTTTAGTTGTAATAAAATAATAATTATGATGCAGCAGCAACAATGCGCGACCCCGGAAGATGTACCTACACAGTTCGATCTATATTTATACATGTGTATCTAATTCAAATATTTATATTTATATTATCGAATAACTTTACATGTATACAATATTATGTATGATAAAGGTAACGATTATCTTAATAGTTACTTAATATAGGTACTGTATTAGTTCATGAGAATATATTATAAATTAGTGCCTCATCCACAAAGCAAAAATTCTATTACGTTGAATTAAATGCATCATGTTATTATAATTAACTTATCAATACCTACTTATAAGATTATCGCTTATAAACAGTTATTCGTATTATCGATTCAACGGCCGTGGTGACCGGCTCACCCAACTCGACCTGACCGGCTGACCTCAGTGTAAACATTTGTAGATAATAACTCTCGTTACGGACTCTGTCCTTCACGTGTAAAGTTTGTCAATTATAAATTGAGAATTCCACGCGACAAGATGTGAAATCGGCCGTAGCATTAAGTATACGCACGTTAGGGCCATTAATACGGGTGTGGTAAACCGACGACGTTCTCGTGCAACAACGGATGATGCGTGTTCATGGACCAAAGGGAAAATGTGTCCGGGTACGGACGACGTGCCACCAGTAGACAACGGCGGCAGCGTCCACCACAGCCTAGGCCCCGGTCTAGGCGACAACCACATATAAGGAGACCGGAATCATCACCAGTGGAGAACTTTGTACTCATTCGAGTGTCGAGACAGCTACACCACCACCGACGCACGAGAAGGAGGAGCACCGTCACCTCGACACCAACACGTTCAGTCATTTCTTTAGTGTACTTATACCTGATAATCACAACTAGGTCTTCACCTGGGTCTGGTGTCGCAGGGTTTTCACTTATAGATATAACTTGTCAACCGTGTTTTGTTTAAATAAAAAACCATTTGTAGACCTAACACACGTGTACATCTTCACATCAAAAGGCTGTGTCCAAACGGCCCGTAACACTCTTATAAAAAAAAATTATTATTATTTTTTTAAAAACACCCAACTATATAGTCGCATAAAACACGACTCGCGAGTTATAAAATATGATATTATTATCTGCGTATGTATAATATGTAAGCAATTAAAATCATTGTAAAAATTAATTTACCTACGACTTGCACGTTGAGCTATTATTACTATATAGTTAGAAGGTCGTTCGCGTTTACAATCATAGAACAATTAATAATCGTTTTAAATATTTGAAGTGTGGTGGATACCGTGCATAAATTATTAGTCTCGTTACATATTTAATTAATCGCATTAATGTTTACCATGGTACTCAATAGGTACATAATCGTTCAATTTAATGTTTTATGTTTACTGTACAAACAGACAATACAAATAAATAATAAAATACATATGGTTTCGAATGTTTCAATATCATTTGCGTGTGTTCAATTATTTACTTGCACAATTCGATTTTCAAAATTCAAAGTATACATGGTACAGCAGTAAGTCCCAAACGTTTTCGATTCGTGGATCCTTTTTGAACTAATGGTTACTCAGGGCGTCATTGCAAATTATTGCAATCAAAAACAAATCTTGAGCGAAGTGGTATTAGTCGTGGTATTTTTCCTATTATATAGTCAAGGTAACCGCAAAAAAATCAACAAAAATAAAACCGATTTATCAAAAAAATTATTGTCAGTTTTTTTTATTTTTTTATTTTAGAGAAAAACTGTTAGAAATTTAAAAATTGTTTGAAAATTAAGTTCCTCTGATCAAAAAATCCATGTATTTTAATTTTTTCATACCTACCATGACGTCTGAACATGAGAATAAAATTCCTTATTAAATGATATTTATCATCATTAAAAATGCGTTTATTTTACGAGTACATACTACGAGAGCTAGTATACAAAGATAAAGTAGTTTATACAAATCATAAATTATATTTGTTGTTACACAATTTTGACTCGCAGTAAACATCTGATATCATCCACAGGGGAGAAACAAATAACTTATAAATAAATTGAGTAAAAAAACAAAAATTGTTTTGTATTATTAAGCAACCAATTATTTAGTATTGATAAACGGTTAAAATCTAATTCGAAAAAATAAATTACAGGTCTGAAAGGGTTAAAATACAATGCTAATACTTTGGAGCATTTTTATTAACCGAAAATGTATTTTCCAAGAAAAATAAAAGTGCCAGTGCCGTCACGGTTTCCGCTGTTTTTTGAATTCTGAATTTATTTTTATACCAATAAATATTCCACGTGGTGACGAGACGCCCCTGTACAGATGTGGCGCACATTTTGGAAACCGCTTTTTTACAGTTTAAAATATTGAATTAGTTTATGAAATAACTAGATAATTTAAAAAACCTTAGGTATACTTAACTTAATGTATACAGTATACTATTATAACTTTATATATTTCCGGTGGTATTTTTTCATATATCATGCATTACTACAGTTTACAGAACGGGTCTTTTCTGATTGATCAAATCCACACATTGAGCGAGCCTAGTTATATCTGTTGTCAGACACAGTGGCGCCGCTAGGAGAAAGGGGTTGGGGGTTGTGACTCCCTCCCGAAATATGTTTGAGCATTTTTTACGAATTCTACGTAATACGTAGTTATATGATTTATGATTCAATTTGAAACATAATGTTGTAACATCTTATACATATTGCTTTAGTATATAGATAACAGTTACGGCGTGGTTTAGGTTATAACTTACTAGTTACTATAAAGTAATATAATATAATTATTAACTTATTGTTATTACATAACTGAACAGCAGCTAGTAGGTACCCACAAGTAGGTGGGTATCCTTATCGACAATAATCCAATACTGAGTCATCCTACCAATGTTTAATCCATTGAAATTATAGAATATTCAAGGAGCGGTATCGTTGAAGAGTGAGTGGTAGGAAGTGAATATTACGTTGTTCGGACGGTGTTAGAGGTTACATGACAGCGACGACAACATAATACGATTTTTTTCTAAAAAAATTTAAAATTTTCTTATTTATTTTTTTCATTTCCTTAATGATTTCGTGTTACCTCTGCACTGGGTCCATGTCATCCCAGGGCGATTTGCCATCCCGGTTGAGAACCACTAGTCTATGATAATAACTAATAACTTAGGAATTACAAACATGTTCAGCATTAGGTTTTATGTTATGGTTTTATAACCAATAGAGATATCAGAATAATTAGATACTATGAATCGTAAATTATCAGTTTAACGTTAATTTTTAAATGTTCCAATATAGTTATTAATTATCAATTTTGCAACATATCAAGTTGTCAATTTATATATATACACACATATATATGCACACTATATTTTAATATTTAGTGTATGTCTAAATTGTTTTCCAATATACGGTATCTATAGATACGGTATATAAATAAAAATTAAACATTTAATTAGACATGGCTATACGATTTTGGTTAATGGTTGTAAATTCACGTAAACGACACATTTATAGTTATTGTAAATAATATTAATTGACAAAAGACATTTACAGCATTTAATTCTCAGTATATATTTATTATTTATATTGTATTACTGTGTTTAAAGCGTAGAGATAAGTTCACAGTCTACCTAATATGGTAGATTATTAATGTACCTATGACGAAAATAAATTGTTAAATGTGCTACAGCATTAAAAACAATTGGATATTGGAACATTTAACGATGTGTTATACTTTAAATAACCTTATCAATAATTTTCATCGGAAAGTTAAAGACTTGTTTATAAAAACCAGAACTAAGAACCAACAGTAACCTGGTTATATTTCGTTATTTGCCAAAACACGTTTATCGATACTCATATTATCGTAATCGTTCTTAAAAAGATAGGGTACATTAAATTATAAAAAATTACATCCGTAAACAATAGTTTATCATTGCTTACGAAAAATTATTTGAAGCGAAAAATACAACATTAAACTCATTTTTTTTTTTTTACTACAAAATATGACTTATAATAAACCTCAAGTTGAATTTTCAAGTATTTCTATTTGGTCTAGCAATATTATACACAATGTACCTACCGAATAAAAATTACGTAAAAATTTACAAAACTAAAATGTCTATAAAAATGGCTTAAAATTTTTAAACATTTTACCACATTTAAAAAAGGTAAATATAGGTTTACTGTTTGAATTTCAAGTCACTGCCAATATTTTTAACTGCATTACAACAAAAAAACAAAATTAAAATCGAAAAAAAATTCCCCGTTCTTTCTACGTTTTTTTCGGTTTTGCTCAAATATTAAAAAAACTTCGTTGTGCTGAAATTTTGAACAATTCGTATACTTCGTTTTTTTTTGTTTACTCTAATTATTATAGAAAAACTATTTTGGATATCGAAAAACGATTTTTATATCAATGGCTACGTATCAAAGGGAACAAAATCAAACTCTTGCCATTTTTCGATTTGAGTAATATTTCTAGTAGAAAACATCGTGTTTATATAATAAAAATAATGAAAACGGTAACGCAGAGTCACGCCGTAAATTATTATCGTTTTACCTATACTTTTTTTTCGGATTTTTTTCAACTATTTCGAAAACCTCATGGAAAATTAAAAAATGACATCTTCAATGCACCAACTAGAGAAAGTTACCTTTCAAAAATGATGCAACACTCTATACTTCGGAACAAGTTTTCTCGTAGAAAAGTTGTTCACAAACAAAAAAAAATTAAAATTAAATAAATAAGTACACACACATCCTAGTAAAACTAATGAATACCTCGCTATGCCCCGAAACTAAAATTATTCACATACGGTACCTAAGGTAATAGCATTGTAAGGACTAACATTTTAAAAACTTCATTGCAATCAAACAATAAATGGGAAAAATTCGTGGTATTAGTTGATTTTCCCGGCAGTTCACCGAGAACATTAAACTATCCGGCCTTGTTATTTTTGGGGAATGAGTAGGTACCTACATATTATAATATTGTTGTTATGGATTGGTAATGGAGGGGTTATAAAATATTCGAAAATAGTGTATCCAAAAAAAATAATGTCAAAAATAATTGAATCAAACATATGGACGCCAAACAATAATTTATCCGAAAATGTTTCGTCGCTAACCCTATAGACATAAACATTATACATCTAGTCATCTAGACATAATCATATAGAGTGCTCCACCCACCGCGACTGATTCTTACACGTCTAACCATTTAAACAGCTGCTCATTTTGATTTATTGGTCTATTAGTGCAACATTGATTTAAATGGTGTTTCGCTAAACACATGACACCTGGCCTAATGAGCTACGAAATACGGTTCAAAATGAAATATTTTTTGGACTTAATATTTTTCGGCTAAAACACTTTTTAGTTCAAATACAGCTATGAGAATATATTTTTTGGATCATATACGGTTTGTAAAAATATTTTTATTCTCACAGACTTTGAGGCAAAATAGGTTTCGTATTAATTATTTACAAGTAAAATAAATTTTGACAATATTCTAATAAGAAAAAAAAACGTTCCAATTCTATTGAATTTGCCTTGAAATGTATCACGGAATCTTGAAATTCATTTTTTACCCACTTTCCGTTAAATCGATTTGCATATTTTCAATTTTTCTATTAAAATTGTAACTAATTATACCAAATGGTAATTTACATATTTAGGTATTGCTTAAATGAAAAATCATGTCAATAATTAAGTATTAATTTAGACCAATTTATTAAAAAACAACCGTCCCCAATAAAGTTATTGTTTGAGGGTACAAGTGCCACATATTTCTTTTTGTCTACCATTATTGTTACGGTTAACGTTGTAAAATCGGTTAATGTGGTTATATTTATACTTTTTTAATTAGATTCTTAGTGGAGCGAAAAAGCTTATGGTTGTTCAATGGTTTTTATTTTTTTTTTCTAAAGAAATTTTTACTTTGTAATAAAATAATAAAATTACAATAGGGAGGTGTAGTCGAAAAAAAAATAACCACCCTACTAGAAACTTGTTTGGCTTGTTGAAAACTTCTTTTCTTATTATTTCGTTATGTGGGTCGTTAAATTTATACCTCATCACAACCTGTAACCATGGTTACAATATCCCTTTCCTGCGTTTACTGCACGCCCGTAGTTATATTGATCGGTGCCACAGCAGGTTTGCAAGGCTACAAGCGTTGAATATTATCCCTTGTAACATTATCCCCTGTAACAGTTTACGAATTACGACTCATTGGAATCCATTCAATACTCAATATTTCCTTATGAATTTATAACTCATTTTTGCACATCATCCTCGAATCAGTATCCCCCTCCCCTCATTGAGACTAGCTGTATAATATATAAAAACGTATTCAAAATATTAATAATGGTTAATTTAATATGGAATTTAATTGGGGGAACCAATGATTTTGTAATCAATATAAGTTTTTGGATCCATCCTCCCCTCATTAAAAATATGCTGGTTGCGCCACTGGAACTACTAATCATTTATTAATAAATATATTATTTTTAATCTTAAGAAGAATTACAATAAGAAAAAAAAATTAGTAAAATGTTTTCCAATTTATTGAATAATTGTACAATATACACATTTAAGTCGGGTAGCACAAACATTCTGAAACTTCTTACAGAACGATTTACAGGTCAAGTTATTTAGTTATTGCCAACATTGATGATAATTTATTTTAAAAATGTTGTGTATTGCAAATTATAATAAAATTGAGCTATAAATTATGGATACTTTGTCTTCATCATTAAGTGATAACGAGTAGGTAAATAATCGAGGTATTAACTATTCTATACCGAAATTGTGTCCGTATCATATATCTAATCCGGTCATATAGTATGACGATGTTGATTTCAAACAACTATTCAAGTACTAAACTAATATTAAAGTATTTAATAATTTATTCATAGATTTTATTATCTATGAATTTATTACACAGTCAATATTCATAATTTAAACATTATAGTAACGCTTGAATTCGTTTTTTTTTATCAGTTATCATTGTTTAGGGTTATCAAATATGTATTGTTGAAATTTAATTAGTAGCCGTGGTTAACATTAGTTGTGTTTTGGCGATTAATATGGTTATGATTCGTTATCAATTATGGTCATATGATTTTGGTTCATGATTATAGATTCGCGAAATTGACATGTTTATAGTTACTACAAATAATATTAATTGATAGTAAAAAAAGAATTGGCCAGATAACTAATCATTATTTTATCAATAATTAAACACCATGACCGTTCATTTTTTTTGGTAAAGATATTTAAGTAACCTATAACCAAAAATTAAAACCAAATTAATAAGTCGTTATTAATACTAAAATCGTTAAAACGACTTTTTTTATAAAATACGGTAACTAGGTTATTCACCAAAACACGCCTATTATATTACAATTTTCAGATTCATTACAAACTCGTTTCTGCAACACTGTTGCATGTAGCATTATCTATAATAATTATATAGTCATCTGTAATATATTTGCAGACTAGCTTTTGTGCAACCCGGACTGAGTTATAAAATTTAATCTAGTATTACGATACATACGAACATTAAATTCTATTAAAATATATGTAAAAATGACCAAGTCATAAAAACCAGTCTGTAAATATGTTACAAACGCCCGTAATCGCAAGCGTATTATAAGTTATACTTATAACATTAAATTTTCTTAGACGTTTCTATTACGGACGTTTTCTTTTGTCGGTTTTTGATGTTTTCGCTGCAAGCCGTTCACTGCTGTGCCATGCTATGCGACTCACATTTAATATTTAATACCCTTCATTAACCACAGATCTGTGTATTCATTATTTTTTCTTTAATCCGTCGGACTTCCGTCTCTTTTATTTGAAAATTGGGTATTTTTCATTCCCAAATCATTTCTTTTTTTTTCTTTACAAAAATGTCAGACTAAGGTTAGACGACACAGTCGATGTATATATATATATATATATATATATATATGTAGGTATCTATAGGACGTATATACGTATCTTTTTAAGCCAATGTTTGCCGGTAAAATCGATAAATCCCCCGTGAATAAACGGGGTTCAAATGAAATACTGTAATACGAAACGCGTTCGCGTTCATGTTCGTTGGAAAAATGAACGCATTCAATGATGAAAAGTTGTAGCCAAATATGGGAGTATTTATAGTTTGATGGCATTTATTTTCATTTTTCAAGCGATGAGCTGTGGTCGTCGCAACAATAAATTGTGTATTGATTATTGAAATATATTTCCCGAAATGACTATGCGAATATTCGGCAATAATTTTTTGATTTAGGTATTTTTATTTAATGTATCTGTAAAATGAACGTTTAATAAACGAAAAATTGTGACAAATTTAGCGCATTATTTCCAAATAATAATGTAAAGTTCATGAAAAATACGATTGAATATTTATAGCGACATGGGCATTAAAGTCGTTAAGATAACTAACTGATCAATAATAAACGATTACCATTCATTTATTTGTTTATTTATTCGTAAGACTATGGCATACGATTACTCATCATCTGTTCAATATTCAGTAAAGCTGTGTCGGTATATTTATCACCTCATTAGTTATTAGTTATGACAATATTATTTCCAAATTATTATAGAAATTCGGACGAATTTGAATAAAGTTATTAGAATTTTATCAATTACAAATCTGTACCAAATCCAAAAAATAAATAAATAAACGTTAATTTTTTTTAATGTATATGAAATACAATAGGCATTTATTTTTTGATATGAACATTTTAAATTAATGTACTAACATTGATCGACGTATCATAATAATACTGAATTACTATTACTATTAAGTGTTCAATTGAATGTACAAAATATGCAGCTTATAAGCAAAAATAAAAAAAAAATACCTCAACCTTGCATCAAAATTCAAATATCATATCACACCTTCACTGAGTATGCATATTACATACTCGGTACTTATTACATTGAATTTTAAATGGATTATTGTTTGAATATTTTATTTTTCGTAACAATAATAATAATGATACCTATTCGGTTTGTTTTTTATTAGATATTTCTTATCTCTGATGAATTTATCTTAAGACTAAAATGGAATATAAATACAATGTAAAAATAAATATGTAGACAATTGTATAGGCGAGCCACACATTTAAAAAAAATTGCTGATACTGAGGACGGGTGCGGCCACTATTGTAGGCGGGTAACGGAGAAGGTGTGATACATAAAGTTATTTAATGTATACCCGTAACCAACGATAAACCGTTGATAACGAAGTTTGGTTATGCATGTTTTGAAAGCCCATAATATTTCCAATTTTCGTCAACATTTGATTTTAAAATTCTTATAAAAAAAAAAAGTAATAATAATAATACTAAATATAACTCGATTTTTGATTGAACACTAAATACGACTGGAAATGAACCACCTCTCAAATTTTCTGTTTAATCTAAAAATGTTTTTACAGAGTACCTACCAAGTAAAAATTACGTAAAAAGTCACAAAATGAAAATGTTTATAAATACCTCAAAAAACCTCTAGAAACGGTAAATATAAGTGTTCTGTCAACATTTAAAGTCTTGACGAATGTTTTAAACTGAATTACCTATTTGAAATAGCTATAGTCTATAGTTTGGAGCAAGTTTTCTTGTAGAAAAGTTGTTCACTGATAAAAGAAAAAGAAACCATAGTAAAACCTTAAGATTACTCGCTACGTTATCACTGACATTCGAATTTGATGTTTATTATTCAGTTGACAGTAAGTTGTCAAGTGCAAAGGTCAGTTACTATTAATATAAATATAGTGGAATATTATGTCAATCTGATTAAAAATAAACGAAAAGCAATTAACAAATTGCATTTATTTCATTGTCACAAAGCATTTTCAAAAAAACCATAATTTCATAAAATTTTGATAATCACAAAGCATTATATTCGTTATATACATTTTTATAATTATAACAATATTTATACACATTTATAATAATAAAAACAGACAAAAAATTTGATAGAAAACCTAGGAGGTAAAAAAAAACAATAATATATTTACCTACTACAGTGAAATATTACCGGTGGTAAGATTAACCAAGGATATATTTACCCAACTTTACGCATGAATTTACGTAAACGTAAAAGCACATAAGAAATATTTATCGGGAGTTAAATATAACCTAGGATATTTTTACCTTTCTAAAATTTTGTTGTAGGTAAATTTATCCTTGGATATTTTTACCGGGGACGGTAAATAATATCGTGAGTATAAAAATCCTGTTATACCGGTCTCAAGCGTATTGGAGGACGGAACACACGTCGGTATATTTAAAACATGCGTTCGCATGATTTTTACCGCATGCCGGAACTCGTAAAATTGATATTTACGGCAACTTGACGTCCCGGTTAGGTTAGGTTAGGTTAAATTTGTTTTGAAAACGACGTTTTCTACCAGAAATCTCGCTCCGATCGATGAACTACAAGAGATCGATTTCATTTCATTTTTAGCTGCTGACGAAGGGGTAAGGTTTTCGATATCTAAAGCAGTTTTCATAATATTCGAGAATAACCAAAAAAAACGAATAATAAGACTTTCTTTTTATAAAAATTATGCGTGGCGTAACGATTTTATTATTTAACATTTTTGAGATTATAATATTTTTCTGCCAGAAATCTTTGTGTCCAAATTACAAGAATAGCATATATTCTGAAATTTTATCTGGTTTTTGAGTCGTTAGATTTTTTTTTTTAATATCCTAACGCAGCAGTGTACGGATTACCGAAAAACGTTGCGGTAATCCAATACGATATTTTAACGTCCGGTACCCCATATCGAGGACCGGATCAGTGTGAAAGCTACAGTATAGTATAATAATTTACCATAAAAATAAAATATTGTTTACCGCAGTGGTGACAAATTCGGGCCGTGATCATTTATAAATCGACCCACCAAAGTATTAAATCAAAAATTTAAAAATGAAAATAACGTCAAATTTCAAAAATTAACACTCGCATTAAAAAAAAAGATATGATGTTTATATTTTTAATTTTTTTCTCATTTATATATAACAATCAATACATAATAAAGATTAAGATTCAATTACATTAAGATGTACCTAAAATAAAATACTAAAAGTAAAAGTTTAAATTCTTGGCTCGCCAAAAATTATTATTCTTTTTTTTATGATCCTCTGTAAAAAAAAAGTTTGGTCACCACTGGTTTACCGTATTGGTACCATACCGCATACCGCTGTATTGGGCGATAACCTTAATGCATTGTCATTATACATCTATATATAGAATAATTCTTAATTACTCCATGTCTACGTCTAATTAGTTAACATCGCTACAAAGCAGTGTTATGAAACAAAGTTAAATAACATATTATAAATATGTTATGTAATATTATGTGTAATATATTATAGTGTTATACAGCAAAACGCATTATTGATAACAACAAAATATCAGGAGAAAATCATATGGCCTATAACATTTCACGTATAGATATTGGGGGGAAGGGTTAAATAATAGAATTTGAATTAAGTTAATTTATTTAATTTGGACTGAAAACTTGATAAATAAATGATTTTGAAATTCTCTTAAGCTCTACAATATTAACTATACAAATAGTCACGTCAAAGTTCACCTGATAAGAAATCAGCACGTTCTAAAATCGTCTAAAAGATGACCACCATATTATACTTGTTTCTATTAGGTAATGGCGACCAAAACGTTAGATTCGGAGAGTAGCGAGCGTTGCTCCGATTTTTCAAGTGTAGTACCTTTTCTGAAGATAATTTTATCTCGATGGTACTTTAGAGACGTCATTTTTTGATTTTCCGTGCGGTTTTCGTAATAATTGGGAAAACCGGAAAAATGTAGGTACATGTATAAAAAAAACTTCGCTTCAAATTGTTTTTCGGTAGCAATCGTTGCGTACAGATGTAATTTAAATTCCCCTCTATATTCCCAACTTCTCATTTACAACAGTGGCCCACCCATTGTGCGGATTAAATCACGCATGTTGCTGCTGCAATAATAATGTCATCACGGGTCGTCATGATGCGACCATCTGATTAATAATAATAATATAATAAAATATTTCAATTTGACGTGGATGTATGGATGTTATTGCAACATTTGTTACGAAAAATATATTATTTTTGTTTTATTATGTCATAATATGCTGTTACAGGTGCAGACGCGGTAAGGCATTTAATAATATATTTACAATATTATAGAATATTCTTACGGGGAAACACTTAAAATTACGCTGTTAAAATCAAATGCGTTGTAACTTGAAACGCGTATAAAGTTTACGGTTTATTAGTTGCGACTAGCGCCGAAAATCGCAGGCGAAAAAACAAACATATGGGATAGCAAAAATGGTATACATCAACTTCGCCGATCGATACTCCGATGTTATACAATGTTGTGCGTCAATTGCGCCCATCAACTTTTAAATATATTTGAGTATATACATACCAAAACTGTATTAACGTTTGGTAAATTATAAGTGATTTACAAATACCTCCGACATTTGGCATTTTTTTTTTTTTACGATTTAGATTCCCTAGTTTTATCACAAATTACGATTTATCATAGAAAAATATAAAAATTTATCGAAATACATTTAGTCGTCTTACTCGTAGGTATACGTTTGAAAAACCATGATTTATAGCTATTTGAACGAAACAATTAAAAACAAGTTACACGTAAAATGGTAAAGTAATATTTACTTCTCAAGTATTACTTCTCAACAGATTACTTATTTAACAAATTTATCACTTACGTAATGACTGGTTTATAAAAATACGACTGCGGTCGGAGTCGATTAATTTTATTCTAATATTGTGTAGAATATAGACGTGTTTTTTGTTATGATAATTATTAGTCTTGTTCACGAAATAGCGATGGAGAAAACCATTGTCAACAATAATAAAATAATGTTACTATTATTACAAGGAAAAAAATAATACATAATAGACATAATCCATTTATAATTAGTGTAAAGAGAGAAAACCAATTAACAAAAATATTTAAAACGAGAGTAGACGAAGATTTTTTTTTAAAATGCTTGTAAATAGACATTTAAATGATAGGTAATAAATACACATTTCGTGAATTTCTTTCGTTTTTTTTTTAACTGTGATAGATTTATTTTAATAATTATTCTGTGAAATAATAATTGTGTACAAGATAAATTAAAATATCATATTAGGTACGCAACACGACAGACGCAGTTAATTGATTTCAGACAATTATAATATTATAACCGCGAGTCACCACGACTATTTTTGCAACTTAAATGTCAATCGCAATATAAAATTATATTGTGTACCTAATATTTAAGACATTATTATAGAGGATGTTTCACGAAAATCTAACAAATGCAATAGCTTTTGTTCTGTTCAATATTTTAAAGTTTTTTTTTTTTTATAACAATCATTATTGTTCTATGATTCCTGTAATTTATATTTTTGGAAACTAAAAATACAATTTTTTTTTAAAAGTAAAATAGTTAATTAAAAATATTTATAAAATCCAAAATAACAATCTTAATCCAAATAACTTTCTTAGCATAGGTAATAATATACACAGTTACTTACAAAGGATAAATCACAATTTTGATTATCTTATCTGATTTATTACCAACAGAAAAATCAATATTGATAAATATTATTAACACATATTATCTGTGAACCCAAAACATATTGTGCATGGTATTTTTTTTTGGATTTTTTTGATAGTTCATACCAATTTATTTATTTATTTATTTAATGAAAACCATTATCATGCGATATTTTAAAAGAAGAATGGTGTGGATCTATCAATATTAATAATACATTATATACACGGGATATAAAAATTTTTTACTGTTGAACATTTATTAACAAACTGATTCAAACTGGTCATATTTTCCTGCAAACAAAATTTAATAGTATGTATAATATAATTTAAGGTTTAAGTACGTTAGTTAGTACATAATATATCATATTAAACTGGTGCCATATTTGTGTAGGTATAAATTTCAGGATAGGTATTGTACTTATTGTATTAGACTAAATTTTTTTCAGTACGTATCATATAAGACGAATACTTATGTACTAATACTGAATCGTTCAGCCACTACATTTTTTTTAGTTTGCAAAAATCATTAGATAATAAAATTATTTTGTAAAGACAAATAAATTGATGAAACAATTAATATTAATTGGTAGTATAGTGGCAATGAAAACAATTTAAACTATCGTAAACTTGAACACAATTGTAGACAATTAGCGATTCATTATTGGCAAATAAATATAACGCCAACATTTTATTTCACAATATGTACCAATACATAATTGTATGTGATCTTGGATTATGTGAAAAACAATTTTACTTTTATTTTATTTAAAAAAGAAAAATGCAAATATAAAATGAATCATAGCGCAAGGCTCTAGTAGGTAGAAAAATAAATATTGAACAGAACAAAAGTTATTGCATTGTCAGCTTATCTCCGTGAACACTATATAGCTGATCCCGCATGGTTTCACCCATGCACAGTATAGAAAGAAAACATCCAACTAATAAAAATAAAAACGGTTCTCTCCCATGACTTCCGAATAATAAACGTAATCGATTAACGATCCCCTGCATCATAGTAACCATTCAGCATGCACGAGGCGGTTTATTTTGATTTGGAATAGTGAAGTACTTAATCATATAGTGCTTACATTATAATACTATTATGTGGTGGCCACCACCTTACTAGCATTTACTAGCCTTAATTTTTGCTTTACTTAGAAATTCAACTCCGCCGAGTTTTTTTGACTAGCCATTATTTTGTCAATAAATTAAAAAACCATCAAGCATTCAAGCAACTAATAAATATTAATAATAATAAAAATAAAAATTAAATCAAGTATTATAATTTGTGTACAATAATATAGTCTCTAAAATATTAGTTATATCATATATTTTAATTTATAATTAATTAGCAAACGCAAAAGTTATGTTTGGCTTAGAATATAGTTAACCTTAAGGCATGTTTATTTTATGTTAAGTTAGTAAGTATCAAAAGCCAAGCCCAAAGCCATTATACAATGAATTAAATTTTATAAATTACCTACTCACCAATTTTTCGTCATTAACCATGAATCAATAGAACGAGATCAAATAAAAAATGTGGCAATAGAAACAATTGTACATTAGTAATTATTATTAATCAGCAATAAAATACTAATAACAAGTTTAATTTAAATAAACATATCTAAAATACAAATACGTATATAAAACGAAATTTATTAAGAAAGAATAGCAAAATAATTAAAATACAGAAACTTATACAAGGCAACATGATAATTTTTGGTGTCGACAGTTATGACTAATTAGCAATCTAGTTTAATATCTATATTTATGTTTTCTAGTTTGCAACTATCTATAGCCATGATCTGTATATTGCACAGTAAGAGTACTTAGTACTAGTAGTATTAGTAGTAGTTATTATAATAGCATAATATTATGTATATTGTATATACTATATACAATGAATAATATTTAATATATATATATATAACAATTATGATTACGAGTTTCGAAATTTGTCATAAACATGATATTAAACTATTTTAAGATCTATGAGTAATATGTCAAACCATAATATCCATCAATTTAATCTCTTCCATATATTTTCAATGTTAATATTCTGGTTAATGGACAATGGTACTACCTCTGTTCTACATCATGCTCACCTTCTTATGTTTGCTGATGATATAAAACTATATATGCATGTTCAAAATACCTATGAAGCCCTTCTTCTCTAATCGGACATTGACCGATTGGTACATTGGGATAAATCCCTGGGATTGACACATAATATCTCTAAATGTATCAAGATGTCTTATTTTCATATCAATAATCCAATTATATTCGATTAAATCATCCATGATACACCAATCACTTCTTCTAATTTTGTTTGTGACCTAGGTTTTCTACGAATATATCATTTATTTCTAAACTTCTATCAAATCCAATCGACAGTCAGAAATCAATTTTAAAGTTCTCCTTGTAAAACTAGATACTTGTCCCTCTGTTATTCTTTTTTCCTCTTCTAATTATATACTAAACTCCCCCCTCTATCATATTATGCGTCTTACTAATGAAGACCCTACTTTTAGCCACCCATAAACTATTTATCGAATGAATCTGTTATTGCTGTTATTCTTTATGTTATATCACTTTATGTTTTTGGGCCTCGGTCTGTATTAGTATAAAAATAAAATAAAATATCTTCAATGACTCCCTAAAAAGTAGATTTTTTCGTTATCTTTGGAAATCTATCTGTGTTGTTTATCCTATTTTTAAAGAATTAAATAAATCCAGAATTTCAAATTACCAACCAATTTCTATAATTTTTATTTTCTCTAAAATTATAACTTTTAAAATTATTCCTCTTTTTAAGAGCATTTTATTAACCCCAAACAACATGGTTTTCGCAGTCATAAATCAATCATTACCAACTAAATATGTAATGATGAAACATCATAATGTATTAAATTCCTTTAAAAATCATCATTAAACAGATGCTATCTATCGATTTCGAGAAAGCCTTTGATAAAGTTAACCGGACTTTCCAATTAAAAAACTTACCAAAATTGGCTTCGCATAGCCCTATCATGGTTAAATTATTTTTTATCACATCAAACCCAATTTGTAAAATTTAAACATTTTATATAATTTCTTATATTTGTACCTTCTGGTGGTGATCACCTATTTCCACTCCTTCAATCTATTTATTAACGATATGGTTTTTTCTATCTCTTATTCAGACATAATTCTTTTTACTGATGATACGAATGATTTCAAATCCATTTCATCTTTTAAAGATAACATACTATTATAAAAAGATTTAAATAATTTTAAAGATTAGTGCATTTTAAATGACCTCTCTTTAAATATAAATAAATCTCAAGCTATTTCATTCTCAAAAAAACATAAACAAATTAATTTTAACTACTCTATATCGAATATAAGTCTTCTAGATTCTTCTTTATTCGAAGATTTAGGTATATTGTTCGACTTAAAACTGCTATTCAAATTAGTGGTGGATAAGGATTTTTTAAGGGGAAGGGGCCCAAAATTATTTATATTCATTTTCAACATTGAACAATAAATATAAAATACAGATAAGAATACAATCAAGTACCAACATAATCGACAATCGTAATAATTTGTTTAACTGAAATTTGAACGACGATTTATAATCATTATAAACTTGTATTATTACAACTAAAAATATAATATAACTGTCAAGGGGTGAGGCACGGCCCTTCTTGGCCCCTCGGAGTATATGTAGTGCATTAGACTTAAGACCCAAAGACCGTATAAGACCTTAATTGAACGCCATTAGTACAAATCATTGTGGAGTCAAGTGTACTATCTAGCAAAGTATGTAAAGTATTTTACATATAAGTACCAAATATATAATTATCATTATCATCTATTATAATTTGTTTTAGATGTGTATAACGCAAATGGAGGGAACGAAGACAACACGAATAATGTTAGAAAAATACGCTCCGATATTTGATTGATCATGGTTTACAAAAAAAAAAAAAATAAAATAAAAATGGATATTCGATATGAATAAATTACCTGTTGGAAAATACAACTGCATATGTACCTATGTATATAAAATTGTAATATTATATAAAAAGAAATCGTTGATTTGTATATGATATTGCGTATTTGCGTGTACATAATATTCCCGATTTTTTAATTGTGAAAAATGTACAAAAAAAATCTAAAATAGCATCCCCAATGCACCAACTAAACCAAAATTGGTACCTACCCACCACTGATGTTATTGATCGAAGATGGTAAAAAAATTGTTCACAGATAACAGTTGTATTTTTTTTTCGTCTCCAATTCAATAATTATGCACCGAGTAAATATAACATAATTAAATACAATACCTATATAAAATATTATCATATTATTTATTTTTCAGTTAGGTATAGGTTTATTTGTACAACGTACCTCATTGACATTGAAATCTCGAACTTGATCTACAAAATTAAATTTATAGCATTGAGATTGATAAACAATATTGTTTACCTAACTTAATGATGTATGGATTTTTGACAATAATCGATAATCGTAATTGATGGTCGTCATTCAAAAAAACACGATATTTTGGTATCAAATTAAACTTGTGAAATTTCCTACAAAATCTGTTACAATTCCAAAATTCGTTTTCAAAACCTGGAATGCTCTATGGTTTGCCATGTTTATTCACATAACAATATTTGTTTTTCGCAATGGCAACATTTAAAAACCATACGGAATCTTGTAGGTACGTGTATACAAATTCAATTTTTAGATTCGTGTTTGTATTTATACACTGTTAACATCTCGTTTGGGTAGGTAGCAAAAGAACTTTTTTTTTTATAGTATGCATCAAAATATGTACAATGTAATCTATATTATATGATTGTGAATATGTTTTCAAACATCAAGTACGCAAATGCAGGCCACGTCTGGGCACAGCGGGCAAATCATGCACGTCAAATCCGTGCGAATTCGGAACGCGACCCGTGAACAGTCACGCACCATGGCTGTAAGCCAATAAAATATCGAACTCAAGGCAATCATCGTAGACAAAAAGTAATAATAATAAATAATCATATTTTCTATAGCACAAGAAAACTGTAACAATATCGCGAAAGACGTTATATCATGCAACCCGACGGTCTAGAGCTCAATTTTTGAAGGGGCAAAAGTGCAAATATAGGTAACGCTAAAAATAGTAAATTAAAATACCTTGTAAACCAAAACATACTACTCCATTACGTTGTTTGGGTGGGAAGCAACGGGGTCATTTACCCTCCCCTCCCCGGATCCGTCACTGACGGTTCTAACACGAACAAGTGTTGATGGCCTTTATTAGGACTATTAATTATACCATTATGATTAGATAATATAAAAACCTGATTTTCATAAAATACATTCATTAATAGTTAAGTTTTACGAAGAAAAAAAAACAAAAAACAAACTATCAATTTTTGGAAAACAAATAAGCCTGAAATTCAACTCTCAAGTTCAACATTTATCGAAGTAAAAGGAATAATAATTTTTTTTTTGGTAATTGGAGTATATCCAACTACATCAGTGATATCCGACTAATTTGAGTCTATTACCCATAAACCGGGGTTAGATATTAGCAAATACCCCTTAAAATATTTAGTTTAAAAGACAAAAAAAATAAATTATATTTTTAACCGGGAATACCACGCCAAATTATTAATAATGAACGACCGACAGTTGTGAACCACTAAATATTGATATCATTTTTAATTAATTAGATATCTGCCATCTTATCTGATTGCCCGTTATAAAAGAATCGGCGACCTTTAGTCAATAATGTTTATACAATATGTTTAAAAATAATTTTAAAAAGCTAAGATAACAATAAATATGATAAAACCTACAAGAAACTATTGGAATTTGCTCATATGGGTAAATAGCTATAATAAATATCTGAAATAATATAATTCGTGTAGTAATATTTAACATCTTAATACTTTCATTGGTTGGATAAAAAAAAAACTATTTAATAATAATTAAATAAGCGTATATACAATACAAATAAAAAAATTATTCTCGTCTTTCTCCTCATAAAATCCTGTTTTACCCCTTGGGGAATATCCCCCCTGGGTTAGGAACCGTTGAACTACACAGAAGTATGATTTAATATAATTTTTCGACTAGTTTTAAATTGTACGGTAAAACTTTTTTTTTTTTTATTTATTGGTTTTACTATGATGTGCGAGTTTTATTTTATTTTTTCGTGTGTGCACAACTTTCCTACCAGATATTTTGCTACAATCAAAAAATAACAGGAGGCCTTTTTTATTAAACTTTGAATTTAATTGGTGAATCGGGGAAGTCATTTGTCGACTTCTCAAGTGGTTTTCAAAGTAATAGGGGAAAACCAATAAAAACGTAATGGGACAACGGACAAATATTTACGGCGCTATTGATTTCATTACTGTACATTTTTTCGATTTTTGATTTCTATCAGTAATCTTACTCCAAATTTTAACAGTGATATCTTTTCTAAAAGCAAATTTTATTTGGTTGGTATGTATGAAGGTCATACTATTCACTCATTAGCTAGTGCTGGTGTTACCTGCTTTTCCGTTACTTTTTCAGCATTTTCCCATACCATATATTGTATCAACCGTTTCTGATTAACCAATTTCAAATGGCGTGCCTTAAAATTTAACAATACCGTATTATAGGTAATACTATAAATTGTGTATTATAATATGGCTATAATACATAATTTATAATCACGGTTCTTCTTCTATAATCATAATCTTAAATATTCCATAGTCATTGTTGAGTGCAATGAGATCCCCATTTGGCTATATGCATTCACTTCGTAAACGGGTGTACGTAAATAGGTATCACGTCGTTATTGTCGTTACTGATTTCGTCGCTTGCGCTTCTACGTTGAGTTCTATGAGAGCGAGTATTCGTTATAACAAAAGGATCGACGGTTCGTTGTCGAGGTCATCAATTAAAGTGATGCGTCATTCACCATGTTTAGAGTAAGTGCTTTTAACGCGAACATTGAATATTTATTAACAAATTTGTATAAAAAAAAAATTGAATCGTGTTATTTTATATATATACGTATATATATATTAATTCGATAGAGGATCGACGGATCATGTGTGTCGGTTGTGAATTAACGACGAAGATGTCGGCACGAAAAATGTCCTAAGTTCCCGTATTTTTAAAAGTATTGTTGTTAATCAATTAAAAAAAAAAAAGACGGGTACACTTCACACGTGGGTGGGCTACTGTTGTAGGTGAAAAGTTGGGAAGGTAGAGGGGAAATTTAATGGGTATCTGTAATATATGCGTTATATATTTTCTTTAATGATATTTGTTAAATATTGTACCTATTTTCCCGTTTTTCCCAATGTTTTTTCCCGGTTTTTCCCATTTATTATAAAAACAGTACGGAAAACAAAGAATAACCCTACCTATAAAAGTATCAATCCAGTCATATTTCCTTTTAGAAAAAGTTCTATTATTGTAAATCGGATCAAAATTGCTAGTAGAAAATGTCTTCACAGTTAAAAAAAAAGGTAAACAACATTGTAAAACCAATACATTCCTCGCTCTGCTCAGAATTAAAAAAAAAAAACATTTTCAACCGCTTAGAATTGAATTCCGGCCTACTATGCGGTATTGTGGTCTGTCAGTGTATAAAAGAAGTGCATATACCTTACGTATAGGACTTTAAGTGAAATCCATTAGTACAAATCATTTTGAAGTTGTGTGTTCTATCTATGCACCTATGTAAATTATAGTATTTTAAATATAGGTACCAATACGATTATGAATATTATCTATTATAATTTGTTTTAAACGTGTATAACACAAATGGAGGGAACGAAAACAACACGAATGATGTTCTTCATAAAAAATTAGTAGGTATTTAACATGAGCGAATTACACGTAGGAAAATACAACTGCATAATATTATGGTACAAATGTATATTAAATTGACGATAAAAAATTTTAATATTATATAAAGAGAAATCATTGGTTTGTATAGTATGATTATGTATTTGCATATTAAAAATTCCCAATTTTTTGAATTATGAAAAAAAATTACCGGAAAAATCAAAAACTAAACCAACTAAACCAAAATTGCTACCTACCCACCACATATGTTGTTGATCGAAGCAATAGTTTTTTGGTAAAAAATTGTTCACAGATAACGATTATATTTGTTTTCATCTCCATTATACATCTCGTAAATTACATAATATATAATATTTCATAAAATACAGTACCTACTATTTGTGTTTACAGACATTCATTAAATAAATATATTTAAAACAGGTGGTTCTTAACAAAAATTTATTGATTTATTAGAATTATATTTTTATGATTTAAGCTAAGTAAATATATAGTTAAAAAGGAGGTCTACAGAGAAAGAAATTGTTTACGGAAATTATAAAATTATAAAAATCACGGTATTTAAAAACATATTAATCGAACTTTGCTCAGAATAATATTTTTCGTGTCATACGTGTATAAATTAAATAATTCTATCATTCTTTCCTTCCAACTTTCTCCATAAAATAGTAGTACATTCATCAGCAGTATCAACTTTTTTTAAAAAAAAAAAATAATTTACATATAGACATAATTATGTATTTTCATTATTTTATATTATTAGTGCGCCTATCTATAACAACTATATATTATTATTGTTAATGTTCGAAAATTTTGAAAATGTTCGAAAAATCCTAGTAAAAAAACTGTCGAAACAAATATTATATTATCAATTAATTTACAATTATTTAATGGTATTCCGACGATGATCGGCGAAAGTGGGAAGGGAAGCTGCATGAATTCGTCTTTTTCCATAATATGATATTGAATTTATAAGGACTTGAGAAATTATAGATATTATTTGCACCTAATCCGCAATAATTGTCCGGATTATTTTCATTCAAATCGATTGAGATCCCCCACCACAATCGAAGCAAACTTTACGTAAATATACAAAAATAAGTATTACCTAAGTAAAAAATAAACAATAACAATAATAACGAAAGACGGATATAAAATGATAAAATATTATAAAATTATATCAACTTTTTAGTGCATCATAAGGTAATGTTGAGTAATTTCAAACAAAGATAAAACTAATCATAATATACGACCACACAGCTAGTATATTAAACGATTAGAATTACATTATGTATTTTTTTAGTCTGGTAGGTACATTTTATCACAGATGTAATACAGCATTGGTATTGAAGAAATAATAATGTTTTTATTAGTTTTATTTTTTTATTTTTCGCTTAATTGAGCAAAACAGATAAAAAAACCGTAGACAGATTTAAAAGTTAACGAAAATAATGCTTTAATTATTTTCTATTTTGGTTTATTGTTGTAATTCAGTCAAACATATTTGTAGAGACATGAAACTTAGCAGAAAACTTATAATTTGCCATTTCTTGACGTAGTATAATTTTAAAAACATTTGAGTCGTTATTTAGTTATTTATAGACATTTTAATTTTGCGAGTTTTTAAATAATTTATACTTGGTAGGTATTTTGTAGAAAAAAATATTAATAGAAAAACAAAAATGCTTGAAAATTCAACAAGAGGTTCATTATAAGTCGTACTATGAGGTAAAAAAAAAATAAGTTTTTATATTGTAGTATTTTTTGAATACAATTTTTAATATTAAATTTTGACGAAAACCGTAAATATTACGGTCTTTAAAAACATACATAATCGAACTTTGCTCCGAATCTCTTTTCGTTATACCTAGCAATTGTTTTTCGTTTTTTTTTTTTAGTGAATCTGGTAAAAATAATCAAAGAGACCAGAAATTTGCACAAAATATTTATATTACCCTTTTTCCGACATGGTAAAATTTTCAAGTAGCACACGGATCTAGTTGAGTTTAATAATTGCAAAGGACATTAATTTTTTTTAAATCTTATAGCCCTTCTTTTTTTATTTTCCCAATTCGAGTACTGATAGGTACCATTCATATTGTTATACGATATTATATTAAGTACCGTTTTGTTCGGTGTAGAAATTCAAACGATGAAAGATAATATTACCAAGTGCTTATAATATTATAATATTAATTTACCTTGCCTTTTAATAATACAATTTCGAAATTGTTCTTACATTTTTGGTGAAGTACCAAGTACCTATAAGGCTTTAATATAATATATTGTATAAGCTAATATAATAGAACATAAGAACATCCGTTTGATGTTATTTAATTTTAAACATTCTTTACGAGGATTTTTTTTTTATACTCAAAATGCCCGAATTTCCAACTTCGTAATATTTTCAGTATAAAATACACGCGTGCGAGGAAGTTCAGAATTCTAAATAGTTGATTGTAACTTAGGCGTAATATTATACGTAAGTTACTGTAAATGTAAATATATTTTATAAATGATAGATTTATCTGCATTAAGTATTATAAGGAAAAATGTCTCCTATAGTCAAGCCCTCGAAGATAAACAGCGTTAATCATATACAAATATTTAACTAGATTTATCCTAGGTTTTAACCAAGGTTCAGAAATAGTTTATTGATTGTATTGTTTACACATGGTAAAAATCACTTAAAGTTTAATTGATATACTATACCCATGGTTTAAGTCCTAAGTAGCGTTACTCGTTATTAGAACACTCTATTAACGTGAAATTAACATTCAAATCTATAAAACCGTGTAAGTACACGTTTATTACATCGAAATAAACGTTATTAATTATTAACATTTACACGTATATTTACGTATTTTCTCGAATAGTACTAAAACACGAAAACAAAGATAGTAAATTCACGTGTATTAATTAAACGTGATTACGAATTTTTTATTCACGTCTACATGTTCACTTACGTATTAATTCACCTTATCAATCGAGACATTTACTCACTACCATATTTATTGTACAACAGTTTTACTCATACAACAGATATGAAAATAAGCTTTGATAAATTTTATCAACAAAACTGTTAACAGTCAGTGGTGCATTTTAGGATGAAGGAGACGACGGGACAAATGCTCCTATCCTCTTCCCGAGGATTTTTCAATTACAAAAATAAATTTATAATAACTACATAAATAAATGAAAAGATAAATAATAATTTAATTTTTAATAATTTTTCAACCAGAAATTTTGCTCTTCAGTTATCAACACCAGGAGTGGTTTTTAGCAGACGATTCTGTCAAGTTGGTGCATTAGACTTGTCCCTTAATTGATTTTATTTGTACGTGTCTTAATAATAGAACAAAATCGAAAAAAAATAAAATATAAAAACTTTAATAAACACAATTTTGTTAAAATCGATTTTTTTTTTTTTTTTTAGTGTTTACTAAAAATTATGAATTATGAGTTTTAATAAATTATTAAATAATACAAAACTATTGTAATTTATTAGATTCTGAACAGTGTGGTTAATGAATCGGTTTTACTGTGATTTGTGCTTATTTATTTATTTTTTAATTTTTTAATTTTTTTTTGTGTCTGTGTACAACTTTTTTACCAGAAATCAATAAAAGACAATACAATTTTTTTGTTGAAATTTGGATTTAGTTGGTCCATTTTTTGATTTTTCAAGCAGTTTTCGCAAAAAAAAAAAGCTAACAAATTTATGGTGTTAATGATTTTATTATTTTAAATTTGTATCTATGTATATGTATAGTGTAGTAGGATAGACAAAAAATATTTCTCGTGAATCTAAATTCCAGTTTTAGTTTCCTAGTGAAACAAAATTGCTAATACTTGAAATGTGTGTGCAACTGTTTTAGGTGAAAAGTTAGGAAGATAAGATATATATGCTGGGTTGCACCAACTAAATAGTTACACAGAGATAACTTGTTTATCTGTAGTTAAACTAAATTCTGTTGCACCAACCACGCTTTAAATTTTATTTGTTGATAAAAATGTAGTTTATCAAGAGTTACATTGAAGGTCCATTTATCGCTGTATAAATATGTATATATCTATAGTTAAATTTCGTTATCAATATTTTGCATTATTATGGTGACTGGTGATAATTGAAAACATTAGATAATATTATTATATTATTAATTCATATTTGATATCATAATTTATGGGTAATAATAATATTAACTTCTACAGCCACTACTTATTGATAACCAGTATTCTGGTAATAACCAGAATATAAAAACATGATTGAGCAACTCTTGTAAATTTAACACACGATAAAACTTTAATTTATCAACTAATAGTTTATCATCATGTAAATATTTAACACTAGATTTATCAATAGATAACTACGGGTTTGGTGCAACCAGGCAATAGAATTATTTATCTATATCTGTATACAGTGAAAAGCTATTGCTAACGAAAAACGGTTTTGAGCGAAGTTTAGTTATACATGTTCAGAACTGCAGTAATGTTTATGATTTTCGTCAAAATTTGACCATAAAATCCTTATAAAAAAACTACATTATACTCAACTTTTTTTTTACCATTAATAACAACTTATAATATTATAATAACTTATACCTAATAGCTTAAAAATCTATGTTTACCATACCTAGAAAAGACTAATATAAAGTTCTATGTAAATTTCAGGTCTACGATTATTTTTAACCAAATTACCATAGTAAAAAAAAATATAATCGAAAATAACCAATCCGTTAGTTCCATAAACTTCCCAGGTTTTTTTTTTCGCTCTTCTTTTATAAACGAGTCACATAATTTACCGTTGAGCACTAGGAATTAAAAACGGGTTTCGAATTATTATAGTTTATTGAAAACTAATACATCGCAAGCAGAACATCACGCGTTTTGAAACGAAATCTCATATTTTACTGTTATATAAAAATAAATGTATATTACCCGGACCAATACAAATTGAAAACATAAATAAAACACCACATAACGATAATTTGATGTCCAAAGAGAGAAATAAAACCGGTTATTGGTGAACACGCATTCCACATACTTCCTCGAGGACGCATAGAACATAGGAAAATAACACACACGAACGTAATAATCGGGGAAATAATAATAATAATCATTTATCACCAAAATATTTTTTTACGTCGTAAAGTAAATATTTTTAGATCACAGAGTTTCTTCTGCAATCTACCCGACGAGATTTTGCATAACGAATTGAGGTTTATTTTCTATTAAAAGTATAACATGAGTTCGCACTCGAGTAACTAAGCGAAGCGATCCTCATGTTAGATTGAGAACCATCGGTTTTTATTATTCATTCAAACAACATTACTGAATATTATTTTCCTGATTTATACAGCCCCCCTCCTTCTGTGTAAATGCTGCTGCAGCGCGTTTATGTGAATGTCTAATGGACTGTGCGAGCATAGACAAATCAAAAAAAAAAAAAACACAGGATAGCTCTTAATAAATCAAAAAAATCAATTAGCATTCAAACGAACAATATTCTGATAAGTAATACGTTAGTGATACAGTGAATTCAAATTTAAATTTAACCATTTTAATAAGTAATAACTGTAATAATACTTTAATGGAGATACGCGGATTACAAATATTAAGAACACGAAAAAAAACGGACTATGAAGGGTGGAACAATATTGGTCCAAATTTGATGCTCCAAGAAATTTAAGTTTGTAAAGTGTAAATCTGAAACCTACAATCTAGTCGATAAAAATAGTCACCATGGATGTAAGCCAAAAAAAAAAAAAAAAATTGATTTTAAGGACACGCCATTAGCCGTTTGAAACATAATAACGAATGTTGATTTGTATGTAATGATACAAATACTTAAATACTTTTACCATTCGACAACAGTGGATACTGTAATATCTACTAAGTACTAGCATGTTAGTAGTCAGAGCAATGATTTAATCGACACAACAATACAATCGTTGAAAAAAAAATCCACCACGCCCAATTCTAATACTACTCCAAGGAAGTTATTAGTTTCCTAAGGCTGATGATACACTGGGGAAATTTATTTTGTTAGTTAAACACACGTATGTTTAAATGAAACGACACATACTGATCCAAAACGTTAAGGCAAAAATATTTTGTAAGCAAGTTTCATGAAACAAAACGTGATTTCTTTCGTGTGTGTTTGTTTCGTCATTTTACGATCAACTCCAGCGCTGTTCATAACGGAAATACGTATGTACTTATATTATAATTTATAATTATTAGATTTTGAGTGAAGCTGAGAAGAATTGTACTTTTTTTCCTGTGAATAACTTTTCTACCGCTAGTTTTGTTCCAATTTACAATGATAGCACTGATATTTGACTAAGTATAAATGTATAAGAGAGCGTTTTGACAAAGTCAAAATGATTTATGTTGCCAATGTTTTTTTCAGTCGTTTTCTCCATTATAAATTGTTCTTTTTGTAAAATACATTCCTGTCGTTTGTTTTTCCATACTTCTCATATTGATCTAAGTGTCTACTTGGATCATTTTTAGAACTTTTATTTTACTCACAATTAAATAAACACCCAAATAGTGTACAACCAGCTGAAATCTTGGACCCAACTAGTATATTATTCGTGGGGACTTGGGACCCAATTAGTATAGTAGCCGCATTAACCTGGGACCCAACTAGAGTAAATTTTTAAACACGGGATCCAACTCAGATACGCTGACCCGCAAACCTGTTAAAACACAAAAGTCGTGTCATTATGATAATACTTATTTTAAGAGATGGAACATTTTCACTCCTACGATAATCATTATGTGACACCACATTGAAGTGTATGGGCTATCTATTTTTTTGTGGTGGATATAGGTGATACATTAATATTCAAGAGCAAAATAGTGCCAGGAAAAACTGTAAAATCTTTGAAGTTTTCGGAGTGAACCTTATAGTGATTGGTCGGCAGTCTACTTTTGCTTCTCATGTTATCCAATACGGGTGTTAATCGTCAATTTATTAAGCTAATAACATAGCGACATCATGATTGACCCCAGATGAACACAATTTGAACTTGGTATAATAATAATAAATTATTCCGTGTGATTTTACTACAAGTTTAATATTATAGTTTGGCCACGGTGCGGCGGTTGATGCCGTTTGCATAGCTATTTACCTATTATCGAATCTTGGACAATGGACAATACAATATTTAAGTATGTATAAATATAGGACAAATATGTCACAAATATATGAAATTAAATCTGATATGGAGTATGTTTTAATTATTCTTAGTAGGTATCAATATTCTTGTAAGATACGTCATGTTGGTACAAGTTGGTAAGAAACTGTAAATTATTTCTACGTTTTTCTCAGCCGCCGCCGGTGATCCTTTTTTTAACATCATTTAAAATAGACAACTGTTCGATCCGACCATATGTATCTTCTTTAAAAAAATTTCCTTATCTAGTTTTCAGTCCGACGGAACACTGGATTGATAATTGATAGTCGATTTTCAAGGGATATCGAAATACACCGGATTTCTCATCTGATTAATCAATGAGCCTAATAATGATAACATACACACAGATGGTGGGGCCAAACAATAGTTCATTTTTTACGTGTATTTAAAAGTAAACGTTTAAAATGCGATTTTCTGTAGTCATGGATTTTGGAAAAGTCGAGCACACTGATACATGCAGTATTTTTAGTTTTCGTCGTTAACGAGTATTTTCACACGCGCACACGTCCATAATTATGTAAATTTAAAGTTGTTTAGTCGAGACGATTTTTGGGTTTTCATTTTTTGAACCATAAGACGCCAATGTATTACGTGTTGAATAAATTATGGCAAAAAACGACGGAGTATGCGACTTTATCGCTGCGGACGGCTAAACGGGCAGTAATCGCTTTTTTATGAAATTTTCCCATGATTTCCGCTTCGACGTCATGTGATCTATATGCTCATACCGTTTTTTTCTGGACATCGTTTGATACACTTGACCCCTGACAGTAGTATATTGTAGTATATTGTATTGATATCGAAACAATGCGATATAACAGGATGTATAATACTAAATTAATTCTGCTGCTATAAATATAATTTAAAATTTAAACTATCTACTGCTGTAAAATAATTTTCGTGATAATCCCATCAAATCCTGTAGATTAAAATACGGGAAATACTCGTTGCATTAATTTTTAGGGACACCGTTACCTATTTCGCGCTCCATTTCACTACGAGTTGTTCATAATATATAGTTTCGGATTTACTGTAAGCTATAATAACCCACAGTAGACTCGCATTTGAAAAATAAAAAATAAGAGACTATGCAAGACCTAAGACAAATTACCGTCCCTCGCAATCACCGAATCAATAATATGCTTATATACCTCGTTTTCGTTTAAATTTGTATTTATTGTATGTATGTTACTATTAATAGTATTAAAATCACGGTTCGGGGCTTTTAGCGTCTGCAGTTTATTTTATGACGTATCATCAAATCGAACAGAGTACTAAATTTATGTCACGTTACAATGAGTTCAATATGCAATATTAATATTATTAATATTATTATTAATATTATGCAATATGCATTTCAAAGTGCTTTTTATGGTACCTTCTTGTTTTGTTGATTATATTATATGAATGCTGTCCCGAACCCCCTTGACTATAATATTAAATTCCAAAAGAAAAATGTACAACATTAAAAATTAAATTCGAGTTGATACCAGTTTTTCGAAAATATCATTATTTGCAAAAAGAGACGTACCAAAACCGTTTCTCCGTCCCGGTAGACATAATTATAGCGAGGGGACGCTAAAAAAAAAAAACAGAAAACAAAAGGTGTTCTCTCCCTCGATTCGAACACTGCTAATCCCTTTGAACATATGTATTTATAGTGGTCTGCAAGCGTAGGGGACGATATTATATAACACGGAATATTATACTGATTGAATAACGAACGATATAAAAATAATATTGTAATAATACAAGACATGGCATCATGTGTATAATCGAAAATTCGTACGTAAATGCATTTAAATTAGGGTCGGTCAAACAGGGGGGATGGGATGAATAGAATAAGAAGGCCAGACTCCCTACCCCAATGACCTTTTCCACTTCAAGATTTATAATACCTATGTATAAATATTATACATAAACTAGGAATGGGTCGAACCTATGATTTCGTGAACTCGAACAGATTTTTTTTCTCGAACTCGATGCTTCTTCGAACTTTCGAATTTTAAAAATTAAAAATTTAAAAATTTAAATTTTACCCACAACAAAATAAAAAGTTTAATATTTTGCTATAATTATACTATTATAATAGAAGTACAATTATTAAAGTTATTATTTAAAACTTAATTCTTATTAGTTACTAGTCATTACTAATAACTCATTGAACTGGTGTTATCAGTTATTAGTTTATCACTTAATCAGAGATCATTAATATAATGAGGTTTACAAAAATGAATAGTGCCTACATATTTAAAAAAAAAAAAAAAATATCGTTTCGAACATATAAAATTATGCTCGACGAACTATTCGAACTATTATAGATGTTCGAGTTTGAATTCGAACTTACATTTTGCTCGAACTCCAAACTGTTCGAATTTTTTTAAGTTCGAGGTGTTCGAGACTCATTCCTGATATAAATAAAAAACAACAGCAATAGTTGAAAAAGCCCCCCCCCTCTCCACCAGTGACAGTACCGTTGTGTCCCCCACCCATTTAAATGCTCGTAAAATTCGAATATATTTTACATGACGTCAATTATTCCTTTATTTTTTTGCAATCTGAAGGTCTACGATTTGACGCTGAATCTGTATAATAATAAGTACGCGGGCGACTAAAACCACTGCACGAATATTATTCGCGAAAACCATGTCTATATATAAATTGCGACCTGTATTGATCGTCATGTTGCGGACCATTTTGCTGAGCTTTCAACGCATATAGATATCTGCAGATTTAGTTGTTACCATGGAAACGGTTCTAGGGCGGAAACTAGTGCGTGGGTGCGACGCGATCGTTAAGAACGTTGCGTTGGAAGTTCAAACTGATCGGATGTGTGTGTGTTCTGCTTGAGTTGTGCTGTTATAACATAAAACGCCACGGCGGCGAGTGTCCCCGTGTCCCATGCTTTTGAGGGGAACCGTCCGTGGAAAACCGACAGTACCCGACAGAGTATGGATTTTCCGGCGACCTTTTTGACCTTTTGGATTCTGTTCGTTTTTCACGTTTTCCGAACGAAAATAATTTTAAATTAAGTGCGCTGATCCTTATCTATAAATTCTGCGGATCGAGTCATTTTGTGCATCGTGTAGATTATTATTATCCGTATACCGAAAAGGTCGGTATTTCTAAAAATACAATCAACTGAACTCCAGACCGTGCGGTATCGATAGTGCAGGTCGTCTAACGATAACAGTTTTAACCGTTAACGAGCAAACATATTTATATCGGCGTAAAAGCAAATGATTATTTATTTAAACATTTTAGATTATGAGTGGAGCGAAGGAGCTCATGGTTTTACAATGATGTTTATTTTTTTATTTTATCTGTGAACAACTTTACTTTTTTATCAGAAATCTTGCTCCAGCTTACAAGTGGCACGTTTTCTAAAAAGAAATCTGACTGGCGAGGTATTTCATAGATTATTTTGATTTTCCCCAAGAGTTTTCCCAATAAATCGGAAAAACGAGAAAATTGGTATAATATCAAACAAATATTATTAAAGAAAATACATAATGCATATGTAATTATTTTATCATATAATGACATAGTATATATTTTTGATAAAACATTACTATCAACCGAACTCGGGATATTAACTCATTTTTAAATCTAATAAACACGAAATTCACGAAATTTTAATTTATGAACTCTTCACTATATTTATAGGCGTAGGTATACATTATGATTTATAAATATTGGGAATATATTGTATATTTAGAACAAATCCGTATTGCATATTATAATTCATTTCGATAATTAGAAAAAAAAAAATTACGTGGTGACACGTTGCACGTATTTTTGTCTTTAATCAATATGTTGTAATCCGAAAATTTTTCGAACGAATGAGTCGTGGAAAAGGTAAATCGTTCCAGATTGGGTTACAACCGTTTTATGTTATTCAAAAATAATAGTGGACGCCTAAATTAAATTATTGTAATATTTCAGTAAATGAAATAATAATATAGTAAATACCTACTGAAATCCAACATATATTATAATTTATATGTACTCGCTCGGTAATGTGTCATTTTTATTACCTATAGTCTACTTAAAATAATATCGTAAGCGTTTCTCAAAAATTATTATTTGTATTGAATCTCGGAAGTCAAAAAAATTGCATTTATTTAAAAAAAAAAAAAAAACCCAAAACATTATTGGCTGTAACTGTCCGACAATATTTCGGAAAAATACCTCAAAACGCCCTTTAAAATATTCTCTTCTTTAAATTTTCTTATACGCGTGTAAACATTATACATTATATTTATCAAGCTGAACTACGTCACAATTTCAATTCTATAAATAACACTATTTTGATATGTTGCCCGTTATACCTACAATTGGACTGATACCGCAGCTGCAAACGCGGGTAAGTATTTCGTCCTTTTTTTGTTAATTCCGATAAGACCTGTTCGGCAGCTGTTAGACTATTATTTTTTTATTTATTTTCCCAATGACTTTTCCCGTTGAATATGCAATATAGACAAACGTAGCGAATAACAAATATCGGTACTCACCGGGTATGTCGGTATTCCTCGCGTGTGCAGTTGGCGGTGTTTCGACGTTCGTGACGAACATCCTGTTGACAATGCGAATCGGCGGAACAGTTCTCTCTGCCATCGTTTCGTCTGAAAAATATCAATGGCCGGATTTAATTTAATCCGAACAAGGAAATAATAAAACATAATATAAGCCTTAGCGTACGTGAAGATTATTAAAATAATATACTAAACGTAAATACATAGTTTTTAAAAACTTTGTTTAATTGGACGAAAACACATACCCTCATACATTGAATATTAAACCGCATGAGAAACAATGTTATAGGAAAACTGAGCGGGAGAGTGCTGTTGTCGCGATCATTACCTAGTAAAGACTGGCGTTAAAATATCGACTCACTTTGGATATTATTATAACCTTCAACTCACCTTCCCCTCCCGACGCACGAAAGATGGCATAAGGAATTCTGCCGAAGGCTCGTACGATCCTGACCCTAAAAGCAAAAATGTTCAAAGGAAATCCATGTCTTTGAAAAAAACTGCGGATCCGAATTATAATTCGAAATGTTTAATCTCGGGTTGCGGCCCCCACTTGTTAATATTCATGTAGAGCTACCCACACTCCTGCAATTGATATTCACGCACATAATATTATGTTTGTAACATCTAACGGAGGTATTATTCTATTTGTTTAAGACATCAACAGAATATGCACAACGTATACTTTATTATTGTACAAACGTTTTGCTTTTGGTCTTTGAACATGGCCCGCGGATAACAAATGGTTTTGGCAGTATTTCGAGCACTCTGCGGATAAATCCGTTTCGCAAGGGTTGGCTAAACTAGTATTTTTCATTTGTTTTGGAACTGAGTAGAGCGAAGAAGCTTATAGCTTTCCAACGGTGCTTTTTTTTTATCTATGCGCAACTTTTCTACCAGTAGACTTGCTCGAATTTCTACGTGTAGCACCTTTTCTGAAAGGAAATTGACGTAGGGAGGCACTTTACGTCGTTTTTTTATTTTCTCTGAAGTTTTCTCATCAAATTTGAAAAATTTGAAAAAAACCGGGAATATATAAGAAATGTAAGTATTAGTTAAAATATATTACGGCATAATTTTTTTCTGTGCACAACTTTTCTACTAGAAATTTCGCCTCAACTTTCAATGTTAGTAATGCTTCTGAATGGAAATTTCCCTGGGGAGGTACTTTAAAGAAGTCATTTTCAACTTTTCCCAGCAAATGTGAAAAACGGGGATATAACATGGGAAAATCGGGAAAACGTAGGAAAACTGGGAAAGTCGGTACAACATTAAACAAATATTATTGAAGAAAATGTATAAAGCCTATTTAATTATTTTATCATAAAATGTCATATATATATATAGTGTTGACAAAGCATATCTATCTACTGAACTCCGCTCAAACTTTTTTTTTCGTAAACAATGATTTATCGTTGCTTACAGGTATCCATAACAGTGGCTGCACCTGTCCCCATTATCCTTGGACGTCTTTTTTCAAATAGAAATGTCTATACTTTCATGTGCGCTCATGGAAATTAAATAATAATTCCATTATGGTATACCTTTAATGTATACCCGATAAAAAAATTGCAAAGATCGGGTACAAAAATAATGTAAAAAACAGCAATTATTAGAATATATTATCGTTTGATTGTCGTGTTTCGGACATCGTATTAATCGTACCAGACTCAAATAACTATTATTGTTTTGAAATACATAATTATTAAACAATTATTTTGAACGGTGATTTTTCCAATCTGGTTAATGAATTGTTGACTATAATATCTTATCTCGTTTTTTAATAACACAAATTATTTTTGTAATTTCGCCATACGATAAATAAACATATAAAATATATATATAATGAATTAATATTAAATACCTACCCATTGAAAAGTTAAAAATTTCGAGAAGTTGTATCTTTTGATACAACTTCTTGACTTAATTTTAAAATCCGTATTATAAAATTATTTTCCGGATTTGTGTGGTCCTTCAAATTAATTTGACTGTACGATTAAGAAGACGTTATATCCGCATCTGTTATCTCAGTTCAACTGTCGGGTAACTTGCAAAAATAATGCTTACGCAGATTAAGTAAAACCAGCCTAAATTTTGATTTTAGAGTAAAAGTGCCTATTATGAAATTTATAGAGAACAATATTTTAGAGGGAATTTCATAGGTGTTTTTTGAACTATAAATTGTTAAACAAGTTACAGTTATTTAAAAAAGAAAAAATATAAAGGTTTTAGTATCTTTTATTTATTGAATAATAAAAAAACCTTACGACATTCCTTCCAAAATATTGTTAATTATAAATTTCATGATAGGTAATTTTACTCTAAAATTAAAATTAAGCTAATTTTTTTTATTCTTCTGCGTAAACATTGTTTTTACATGTTACCCTGGTAGTTGGATCGAAACAGTAGGTGCGGGCAGTGTTGAATCCAGACAATTTTTCTGAAGGGAGTGGGAGCATTACTAAAATTATAGTAATGATTTTTTTTTTCTTATCTACTTTCTTACTAAAACCAGTCTAACTAAACCAGTTGTTTAATTATTAATTTACTCACATTTAAGAGGAAGGCAAACAAAAAGGGGCTATCACCCTCCCTGTCATATACCTGGATTTACACTGGGTGCGAGTATAACGTCCCTGCTAATCATAAGTATTGATCCGTCGAATACCTTTTCGTCAGCTTGTTCAAAGATCGTCAATACGATCGGTTGTATACGAAAAAAAAAAAAATAAAAAATTGAAACTATAAGACAGCCTGTATTATTTTAATTACTAACATTAACATTTATTATGGTAGACATTTTCTTCTAATATTCTGTTGTGTGGTGAAAAAAAAATGTATACATTTTATATTATTTTAATTAAACAAATTTAAATAGGTACAGGTAATAACATGTTTAGTTAACTTGTATAACTTACAGTCGCAATGTCGCATGGTTTACAAAAAGCAATAAATAAGTAAGTAATTATTTCGTTAATCATTATGCACGTATGGTGTGTAAATTTTTAAAATAATGCGACATTTGACACAAGTCATTTTGACGTAATTACGCATTTCGACGCGCTACAATTCAACGCATTTTGTTTTTTTGTTTTAAAATAATCATTATTGGCTTTAAAATTGTTTTTATCTGTTGTAATAATTATCGGCTTATACATTTTTTTGTTTAATATGTACATATATTATTGGCTTTTACACCTTTTTATTATGTACCTACATGCCGAGTTATTTATTTAATATATATATATATATTATGTAATGGCGTAACCAGAATTCATTTTCAAGAGGAAAGTGAGATATGAATTCGAAATAAATTTCTGGGCAGGTTATTGTCATAATAAATTATAAAATGAGTGAAGTTCACAACGTACATGTGTTCAAAATTACAAGGAAATAATTGTAGTTGCAAATACAAATTATGCAGTTATATGTACTTGTTACGAAGAATTTTTAAACAAATTTCAAATTTCGGAAAAGAAGATTATAATTTATAATTCCCTGACTGTGCTATCGCATATATACATATATGATATTCAAAACTGATTGATGAATAAATCGTCACTTCAATTTACACTGTAAAACTAATATAAATTATTCGCTACTCACTCAGATAATGTAAGAAATTACAATTTTATATTGCTTATATAATAATAACATCTGCATAAATAGACAAAGTATTAGTTAAAATAAATATTGGTGTTGACATTTTTGATCGCCGTCAAAATTTTCCGAGATAATGAGTGTCTTATAATAGATTGTTCGCCCCCTATATGTGTCTACCATATCATTAATTAATGCATTTATTTATATAAAAAAAAATGAAACGTAATATTTATTTGTCGTGTGTGAAAATGTAATCGTGTCCAATTGACTTGCGTTTCCAAAATAAATAATTTATGCATAGTTATATATACGTAACTTTATTTTTTAAGATTTTATTATTAATTATTTTTTTTCTTATCTTGCATAAAGATTATAATTTATATTATATATGATAAGATATGATAGTGAAAAGTAACATAATATCGTCATATTGAGATTACTGGAAGATAATCTTTGATCGTGAACGATAGTAAGTTATCGATAGGACGTCACAGACGGTCAACACCGAATTGTAATAAGTGATAACTGATAACCTCGTTTTCGTAATTTAAACGTTGTAAATTGTGATAAATTTGCATTTTCTAGACGTGTTATAATTTTCAAAATATTTATGCTATTTTCGAGCTATTTATAGGAGTTTTAATTTTGCTAGTTTTTGATGTAATTTGTATTTGATTGATCATATAATTCGTACTTTGTGGTCAAGAAAAAATTGAGTAGAATGAAGAATTATTTTCATACGAATTTTTTTATCAAATTTTAACGAAAATCGTAAATATTAAAATTACAAAACACGTATAATCGAACTCTGCTCAGAATCGTTTTTCGTTAGCAAAGATTAATCATTGCGTACAAATGTACATTAAATTCCCCTCTATATCCTACATTGCCAAATTTTAACTTACAACAGTGACTCACCCATTATATGAAGTTTGTCCGTATTTTTTTTTGTTAAAATGTAAATATAATATGTTTAATTAATAATTATTTTTTCAAAATCGATCTTTACGGTGATTCAGCGTTGTCCAACGGTTGTAGAATAATAAATTTCCGATTAGAATTATTATTGAAAATTTGATACCATGAAACGGAACGTTGCAATAATAAGAGATTAGCACCTAGGTAAGTTTAATTATCTTGTACCGAATCTCGCTAAGTCGCCTCGACATTGTACATAGTCACACAGAAATATCAAGTTAAAATATCTTTGAATAGTAATTTATTTTAGTCGAACAAATTTACCAAGTAACGGTTGCCGACTGAAATTCTAATATTGCTGAGTGGGAGGAGGTGTCGCATACCCCTATGACCCCCACCTTCGGTTCGTCCCTGAAAGTGCTTACATTTAATTAAGGTGTAGTATTAACTATAGTTGATAACGAAAACGGTGAAATCTACCGGCCGCCTGGCGGTCATTGAAATAACAAATTCGGAAAAAAATATTATTCAGAGGCAAATTAATAGGTACAATAATTAATACAATAGTAACAAAAATTGGCGCAAATCAGATTGATAAAAATGAGGATAAAAAGGTTGTCTATCATAAACCAGTATCTGTAAATGCATATAACCATTAAGGTAACTATTAAAATCTTCGCTCTAGTATACCGTGTATAATAGGTATAAAAATGTCCTATCCATGTATATATTATAAATTAAATAACAGTTAAAATACAATTTAAATACATGATAAAAATTTTTATCGTAATTTTTATATAACTAAAAATATAGCAGATAATTTCTACATAAGTACGTAATGGTTACAATATTGAGTATAAAATAAATATTTAAGGAAAAAAGAAAATAGAAAGTCTAAACGATTCTTGTATTTCCTGTAGATAACTGCAAGATAGTAACTGGTATATAAGACATGAACACTATATTTAATAGTCAGTAATTTTTAAATGGTCAGGCCATTTAAAAGTTTTAAAAATTGAATTCGCATATAATGAAAACTATACAACGAATATATAATGAAGCCCTCTCTAGGACTAAGAAATTATATTAATCTTCCCGCTACTTTTGAACACCTTTAGCGGCTTTTTCTGAACCAAAAAAACTCAAATTCAGGAATTAAAATTGTTTTTTTTGGTGGATTTAAGTGGAAATCAAACAATTATGATTGAATTTCAGTATTAATATCACTATGTTGTTAAGGGAAGATGGTTTTTTTTTTTGCTGTATAGTATATAGTATATGTTGAGGTGTATATAGTATATACACCCCAACATAACACCCAAATCAAGCCACGGGAATGCAATTTTGCATTTATGCTCGGTGTAAATATTAAATGTGATCCTTCGCTTCGCACAGAATCTAAAAAAAAATATAATATAGTAACGGCAATAAGCCGTCTTGGGAAAAATTTTAGTAACAAAGTTCTGCTGAACATTTTTAACGCGTTTATTGAAACATTTTTATGGAAATCATAATAATCAGTACATTTTAAAACATGGTTTGTTCTTAATCCTACTTTTAAACCAACAGATTATTGTTTCAAATTTGACAAATACAAATGCTCTTGAGGTGGCTAGTTGACTGGTTGCAGCATAACATATAAAACGTTACCAAGTATGCGATTTTTATTAGATGTACCAAATTGATTTTTTTTTTTTTTTTTTATTTAACTATATTATTAAGACTACTGTTACTGGCGTTTTAACCTAACCGGACTCGACAAGAAAATCGTTGCAATTAGATAAAAATGGAATAATTTTAGTTGGAACAACCAAATTTGTAGCTGGAGAAGGTCCAAAGCTCTTCTCTTGTGGCAAAACCTGTATAGTTTAAATACCCGTATTTCTTAAAAACAAGAAATAAAAACTAGATTTTTGTTACGTGCTTTAGAATTTTAGATGTAGCGTGAAGCGAAGAAATTATCATTTTTATTAAGATTTGTTTTTTCGTTAATCACTTTTTTTAATAATAAACATAATCCCATTTTTCGAATCGTACATTGAAAAATTCACATATTTTACCCTAAGGTACTTATTTGTTTGAAACATTTTTGTAGATTCCCCACAGATTACCTAAACAATTTAAAACAATTGAAAACAAATGATGATCCGTTGGTTTTTTTTTTTGTTGATTTTTGGATTGTTTTGTTTATACGGAAATAAACACGACCAACACCTTACCAGATTATCTATCACCCCTCAAAATCATTTTTTGATTGAAATGATTTATCGTTGCCTTTAGTAGGTATATAAACTAAATTACATTATTTCCTATACCTTCGAAACTTCTGACCAACAACAGTGGCCACGGTGCGAAGCATTTTATACATGTTTTTTATATTGTTTTTAGTTGTAATACCCGGTTTCACCAGTGGGCAGTTTTATAAGTAATAAGTAATTAAAATGTAAAATATAACAATTTTTAAGTTACTATGCATTGCATTTTGTATATACATTTGTATTTGTTTGGATCCAAACGTATATTTGATAAGAATTTTGATTAGGTAATATGACGTCACACTAATCGTACATGATAATTATTTATAGCCATAATACCATGTTCGTTATCAACATAAATGAACAACCAATCAAACTGCAGTTCATCTCTTAACTAAGCCTAACTCACCGAAATCGTCTTCTATTGTAAACTTCTATTGTAATACGGGTCCTTAAGTTTTTATTTACAAGGGGCTATGACTGTTTATTTTTTGTTCATACGTATATTAAATCTACCTGTCCTGATCCGACATTGACCGTGTGGTGTATTGTAATATCCTAACCTAACCAACCAAAAATTAGCCAAAAAAATTATATTTCTAGACAAGTATTATGTTTCAGACAACCTTAATCGGAGAAATGTTGAGATAAAATATAACCTATATTACTAAGGGATTGTGTAGCTTTGAGAAATATTGGTTGCCGTTTTCAACCCCTTTTACGTCTTTTAGCCCCCTTTGGAGTAGAATTTTGGAAAACTCTTAGCGGCCGTCTACATCATAATGCAAAACTACAGACCGAATTGCATACTCATAGCTCTAGCGGTTCCGGCTATGGTGATAATCAGTCAGTCAGTCAATCAGTCAGGGATATGCTATTTTATCCAAATAAATTTAACTAATAATAATAATAATATTTTTAAATATTCCAAATCGGTCATAATTATTTACCAGCATATTCATACAAAAAACAGTGGCGTAAACTAGAGCTTTTAATGCCCGTGGGTAAATATCGAATAAAGGCCTAAAAGCCGACCCGATTTACAAATAAAAAAAAAAAAAAAGCTCATTCAAAAAGACCCTCACATATTGTGTCCAATAATGCCGTGGGCTCTGGTCAAGACCATTGCTAAGGCCCTCATTATTTGTGGGCCTGTGGCCCGTTTGCCCGTCTAGTATTTACGCCATTGTACAAGGAAATAAATAAAACGTATCAAAATCAAAATAATATGCACAGGCTCCGAGTATAACGAACGCCTGTGGTGGCACCACTGGTGCACAATAACCGTCGGCGTCGTTTAAATGAATTTCAACAGTACTCACCGCAGCGACGAGGTGGTCCGGCAGACGCGATGTCAAATACTTGTCCGGTATCGCGGTGTTTGTCCCCACGCTAGACGAGTTTTGTCCGGCGCGTGAAAAGTTTATCGCATTCGTCGCGCGGGCATTGTGCATTACCGCGTATGGCCCAACAACAACAAACACAAATATCAACACGGGACGCGGACGAACTCAACGTTATGGCGACGATCGCAGAATGCCGGGCCGGAACGCGCAGGCGCAGGGATAAAACACAATGTACATATATACATCTAATAATATACGTACCTACGTGCATGCGGCTGTCGTCTGAGCCGGAGATCAGTCCGGAACCCACGACGATATTCTCCCACTATACCGTTGCGTTGTGCGCCGTACGCGTACAGACAGGACACCCGCAGACAACGATTTTTCTAGAGACTCCGTACGATACGTACTATTATCATTATTATTATTATTGTTATTATTATTATTATTATTCACTGTATCGGCGACGAGACGATTCGAAACGGTCGAATACCTGATGTTATTTCGCGATCCCTTTCGGCGCGCAAGAGCGGCGACCGGGTACCGGCAGACGTGTTTATTAGACGTAACCTATTTAACGAATTGAACAAATAAAAAATAATTGAAAAAAAAATTTCCGAGTGTACGCGGTAAAATATTATAATAGCTGATATCGTTCGGAATTACGACTTCCCGGTGTACGAAAATAATAATAATAAAATCAACACGAAAACGAATTATTATTGATTGGGTAAATACGATACGGACGCACGAACCACTACGCACGGGTCATGCCGATTATACAGAACAAGCAACAACGGAATATCGCTACTAAAATTCCGAAATATTTATAATATTATTAGTTCGAATTTCGCTTTATCGCTGAAAAATAATCAAAAGATAATATTGTAACGATAAATTCCTATTTCCTAGTAATTTTATTATGATAAACCCGTAAATACTATAAATCCGTTCTCGAACAAGATTACTGTATCAGTGGTTCCTAACCACTTTCACCGCACCAGTAGTCCGTCGAATAATATTTTGTCCTGAAAAAATCATAGTTTCATCTAGTCATCGATATTTTGTAAATTACTGTTCAGTAAGAACCGGATTTATACGATCTAATAAACTTTAGAAATGTGTACTATAAAATATGCATTTATGCTCTTGTTATAGTTATAGGTATTTTATTGTATATCTGTATACCTGTGAGTAACGATAAACAATTGCTAATGAAAAAACGATTCTGAACGCAGTTCAGTTGATAGTGATACTTTGTCAACAATATATATTATGTTATATTATGGTAAAATAATTAAATAGGCATTATACATTTTCTTTAATAATGTTTGTTTAATATTGTACCGATTTTAATGTTTTTCCCGGTTTTTCACATTTATTGGGAAAACTCCTAAAAAATCGAAAAATTACCACCTTAAAGTACCTTCCCAGTAAGATATTTATTCAGAAAAAGTGCTATCATTTTAAATCTGAGTGAAATTGCTGGTGGAAAAATTGTACCCAAAAAAAGGCCATAATATTGTTTTACTCCGTTTTCCCCAGATATTACGAAAAACGATAAAAAATTTAAAAAATGACCTACCTAAATTACAATGGAATAAAATTTCCTTTCAAAAAATAGGCTACACTTAATTCATCAGAGTAAAATTTTTGGTAGCAAAGTTTGCACAACAAATTGAGGGATATTTTGCGATTATTATAATAGTTCAAGCAAGCGGTGGATTAGTTATTTAACCTAATAAATAATATCCGCATAATATTATAACTTCAAAAAGCTATAGATTCGAAACATAGTCAGTCCGCTTAATTCTGATTTCACCATCGTACTTAAATCGGCAATATACATGTGTTCATAAGAAAAAAAAAAATTGAAAAATTAGATTTATTCCAAAAAATTCTATACTACACAATTTTCGTCAAAATTTAGTATTAAAATTTCTTTATAAAAAAAAAAATTCAACATTAAATTAAACATTTTTGATTACAAAGTAATACTCTTAATGAACTTCCTGTTAAATTTTGAAGCATTTTTAGCAAGTCTAACAATTTTACCACAAAGTACCTACCAAATAAATATTACATATAAAACTCTCAAAATTAAAACGTCTATAAATACCTCAAAATGACTTAAATAATTTGAAAATTTTACTACGTCTAGAAAAGGCATATGATAGATTTCTATCCAAGTTTTAAGTCCATAGATTCGATACTAATATTTTTAACTGAATTTAAAAAAAAATATTAACATTTTTAAAAAAGCCTTAAAATGGCTCAAATGTATTGCAAATTTTACCATGTCTAGAAAAGCAAATATAAGTTGTCTGTCCAAATTTCAAGTCTCTACGAATATTTTAAACTGAATTAAAACAATTAAAAAAATTAAAAATGAATAAAAGCATTATTTTCGTAAATTTCCCCTTTTTCCTACCTTTTATCTAAAAAAAAAATCTAAAAATGACCTCCCAAAAGTACCATTTGGTCAACATTTCCTTTCAGAAATGGTGCCACGTGTATATATGTGACCAAGATTTATGGTAGAATTTTTGTACACAGTATAAAAAAAAAAAATAAACATCTTAGTAAAACCAATACATTCTTCGCTACACTTAGAATCTAAAATATGTGTTTATTTTTATCATTTCTATCGTTATTTTCAAACTAATATAAATATAACCAAAATATTACATATTATGCATTTCAAAATCATTTATATGCAATGAAAAATCGTATAATATAGAAATATGCAAAACATGTTAATAAATAGTAAAATATGCAAAATAAAACTTTGTATTTCAGTTCTATTGGCTATAATTTAAACTTGTAGCTTATCTGACAACTCTTTAGACTGTCTAAAAAAAAACATACGAATGCATATGAATCCGGGCCCTTCTGATTATTAATTTATAACGTTTGACGGCGCAGTTCGTGTATACTTCCTTTCGTGTAATCGTTTTTCCTATCTCATAATTATTATTATTTTTTTTTTACCCCACGATGTTCGTTACATTTAATATACCTATATATTATACGTCCGTCACGCGATCTCTATTAATTGGCGGATGTGAATCCTAACCTATTTACCAAAGTTAAGTAGATAGGCGGGTATAGGTCATATTCCCAAAGGTTAAAACAATATTTATACCATAGTGTTCAACGACAAAACTCACACACAACATCGAGACTAGGTACAAATAACCAGAGACGTATATAGGATTTTTTCGAGAAGGGGGATATGAAATGATATTTTTTAGAGCCTAAATTTTTACCTTAAAACATCATAGACTTCCAAAGTATAACGTATATTAAGCGCCTGAAAGGTACTATCCAAAACTTAATAACAGTCTCCCAAAAATGTGTAAATGCTCTAAATGCTCATACCACACCTGAAAATAATCTTTCATCATAAATATTGAGTATACATTTTGCAAGCTTTTAACTTCAGTTTATCCCGTGTAGAGATTTAATAATAACGAACATAATAATATTCATATTCTGATACTCTGTTTTATTAATTTAAGTTGAATGTATTTTATACACAACTTATTGAAAACTTCATCTGTTTTGACATCAATTTCACTGTGGCAAGACAGCAAAGCTAACTCATTTAGTCTAGTCTATAATCAAAAATAACACGCAATATTAATAAACAGTTTAAGTTCATATTTTTTTTGAAAATTCTATTAGATTTTGAATGGAGCAAAGAAGTTTATGGTTTTGCAAAGACGTTTTTTTTTTCTGTGCACAACTTTTCTACCAGCAATTTCGCTCTAATTTATAAAGATAGCGATTTTTCTAATAGGAAATTTGACTGGGGAAGTACTTTATGGAGGTAATTTTTCGATTTTCTCATTAGTTTTCCCAATAAATGGGAAATCCGGGAAAAACTATGGGGAAACCGTAAGAAAACAGAGAAATAGGTACAATATTGAATAAATATTTTTAAAGAAAATATTTATTACCTTTATCTATGTAATTATTTTACCATAATATGACATATACCTTAATTGTTGACAAAGCAACTAGACTATCAACTGAACTCCGCTCAGAATCGTTTTTCGTTAGTAATCCTTAATCGTTTCTAACAGATATACATTAAATAATCTATAAAAGTGGCACCCATCCCCATTATCCTAAGACAGTTTTTTTATTTTGTTGTTATTATTGTGTAATGTCACTCACAGGATAACAAAGTGAATAAACTGTAGGTATATACAGAGTGTCCATCCTTATGTTATTAATTCTGTCAATATTTATTTTTATTTTTCCAATCGTGTTTTGTGCAAATTTTTATTTTCACTGAAAAATATAAATTTTTATTTTTCCACTTTTTAAAATGTTCAATATAACCATTTTGTAAAATATATTATTCTAAGGCTATTACTAAGAAAGTATTGATCGGATATAAATGTATGTTACATTCAAAGTTTTAGAATAATATCTTTTCCAAAACGGTTATTTTGAAAGTGATAAAATAAATTTATTTTTTTCAATAATTATAGGATGAAAATAAAAATTTAATTTGTCGTTACATATGTGTCTCCTTCGCACGATCCGATGGGAAAACAATGTAAAGAAAATGAATATTGACAGAGTTATTTATCATAAGGATAACCTGTAGAACAGCATGTATAATATATATTTGCTTGTAAATATACATTAGTATATTAATATTTCACCCAACAGCTAACATAATACGGGATCTATTCTGTTTGTACCTAGTCGTATTAAAAAAAAAAAAAAGGCAAAGGAAGTGATCTATTCCCCATGGCCTGTGTACCACTCGTAAATACGCCACAACAGACAACATCAATAATTGTGAACAAATCGTTTATAATATTATATCTATGTGTAACTAGATTCAAAGATTCAAACACGGTCGTCTACTTGGTTTAATAATACTACAATATTACAATATTATACAAAAGACCGTTCGTTGTTCGAGAGTTTCATTGTATTTTCTACGATAGGGAAATTTCACACAATCGGATAATTTATGGAACTGCGACGCCGGTCGGAACACTGGTGACATTACCACCGTCATTCTTTAAATGACCTTTTCCAAACAAATTCGAATCAATGAAGATCTTTGTAACAAAATAATATCTCGTATAGACCTGGCACGAAGGAGGGAGACGTATTATTATTCATTG